GAGGAAAGGACTGCGTTATTGGCATGACCTTTAAATTCGACGATGAAAGGAACCAACATTTATTGAGCATCACTGTTTGCCAGCCAAGTCCTGTGCTGGGCACGGACTGGGGGGAATGTGGTGGGTATAGAGAGAGTCGAGGAGCCAAAAAGAGAAACACGAGCTGAGATGGGGACCCGAAGGCATCAGTGGAGTCCGAGAGGCACCCAGCAGGTTCCCGACACCCAGGAGCAAGTAAGAGGCAGGCGGTGGAGACCAGTGAAGGGCACTGCTTGTGCAGGGGCCAGGGCGCCTCAGGGAGCCTGGGTGGGTGGGGGCGGGGGCTCAGGGCCCCCTGGCTCTGATGGTGGCTGGGCTCGGGGCAGTCTGCCCTGCCTGGCTGCAGCATCGCCCTGCTCCAGGGTGCGGTTTCTCTCTGCAGGTCCCGGAGCAGGCTGGGCACCTCTTCTCTTGACCAGGCACTGGTTCCCATCCCCCAGCCCCATGAGGACTGGCACATGCCAGCCTCCCCTCTAAGAGCTGGGGTAATCTCCCCCGCCCCCCCAAACCCACAGGCGGCTTGGCGCAGCACGAAAGACTTTTCCTTCATTTGCTTCTGTCTCTCAGTCTGGCTTTTCCTCCCTGGCTGCTCTCTCTTCCCCGCCGCCCTCCCCCACGGCAGGATGTCGCAGTGGTTAAGAGCTCAGGTTCCTTACAACCCTCCGTTCAAATCCTGGCTCCCACTCCAGACATCACTGTGTTTCTCCAAGCCCCAGGCTCCTCGTCCGCAGAAGGAGGAGTCCCAACAGCCCCTCTCTCCCGGGAGCGGGTGGAATTAAGCCACCTATTGAACATGCAGTACCCAGGCCGCTGCGAGCTCACTGGGAGCTGCCATTCTCCCTCAGACACTTCTCATTCCAGAGGCAGCACCTGCTCTGGGCTCCCGCAGCAGACCTGTCCCATTTTGGCCGAGGGGACACAGTACAGGTGGTGCTGAGATGGGACAAATTCAGGGAGCCACAGGGGGTGGGTCAGGGACACTCCCTGGAGACCCACATTGCCTAGGAGAAATGAAAGGTGGGGAGCTTGTGGGGTGCCCTGCCCCGACTCCTACCTAGACTTGGGGCTCTCCCTTTGGTGCCCTGTCTTTCTGTGCTCCTCCACTGTCCTCCCAGATGAGCCCGAGGCTGCCTGTGCCCTCGGTCATCCCCCACTCCCAGTGAGGCCTTGGCTCAGGTCCCCAGAGCCAGGGCTGTCCCGAGTCCTCCTACAGTGGTACCATGACCTTGGCCTTTGGTCCACTCAGACCAGAATGGCTCCCATCCCTCCCCCTGCTTCCTGCTGCATGCTCTGCCCCCTCACCTGCTCCCACAGCCTGCCGCACACCAAGCAGAACATTCTGGTCCTGTGAGGCTGTGAGCACTGCTCTCCCTCCACCCCTGGGGTCCCCCAGCTCAGGTGCCAGTGCAGGGGGGCCCTTTTCTTGCTCAGGAGAGGTGGGATGGTGAGGTGGTCAGGGGCTGGGGCTCAAGGATCAGACTGCCTGGGTTTAGGTCCTGACTCCCCACCCCTCCACATTCTCTCATCGCTAAATCAGGGCTAGCATGCTTCACAGGGCGGAACGCAGACGGGAAGTAAAACATTAGGGCCGAGCCCCGATCAGCAGCACCCGAGGACCAGGCCTGTGGAGTCCTGACGCGGATGGTGCCGAGGGCAGTCTCCCATGAGGCCTCGGTGCTCACACTTCCCAGTCATGTGTCCTGGGCAAGATTCTTGCAGCCTAAGCTTCTGTTTCAGGGTCTACAAAATGAAGACACAAATGTACAAGCCTTGGGAGGTGGGGGTCATTCAGAGGATTCTGTGAAGTGAGGTCTGCTAGGTCCTGAGCATGGGTCTGGTGCATGGGGCTGAGGCTCAGGGAGCTTCTGTGACCTGCCCAAGGCCACAGACCAGGTTGATCCTGGAGCTGGGATTCCAGCTTCACAGAGCTCCTCTGGAGCCCTGCACGCGCTCCTGCAAAGCTCTGCATGCGACTGAGTTAGCAGGAGCATTGGACTGCAGCTCCAGGTGCTCCTCGGTGACTGGGGGGGGGGGGCTCTGCTCCCCACACGCATCCTTGGGGTGCACGAGTCTCCCCCAAGCCCCTCCGGAGGCCAGGCAGTGGTGCAGAAGGGCCCCTGGGTAGGGCAAGGGGAGCCCAGAGCAGAAATCTGTGGGGAAATGGAATTTCCTTGGGTATGCAAAATGCCACGTAGTTCCCCATGCAAATATTGATGGGCGCCCCCCATGAGGTAATCACTATCCCTAGTCATCACAGCAGCCCTAGACACAGGTTGTTAGCCCAGCTTTAAAAAAAAAAAAAAAAAAAGCCCTGGCTGGTGTGGCTCAGTGGATTGAGTGCCAGTCTGTGAACCGGAGGGTCACCAGTTCCAGTCCCAGGCAAGCACATGCCTGGGTTGTGGGCCAGGTCCCCCAGTAGGGGGCGCGTGAGAGACAACCACACACTGATGTTTCTCTCCCTCTTTCTCTCTCCTTTCTCTAAAAACAGATAAATCTTTTTAAAAATAACATGTTTATTGAGATATGATTCATGTATCATATAATTGGCCTATATAATGTGTACGACTTAACGAATTTAAAAATGTACTCACGGAGCTGGGCACCCTTCAGCACAACCAGTTTCAGAGCATCCCCACCCCCACTGGAAACCCACACCCACTGGCAGTCACCCCCACATCTCCCTGCCCCTGCCCCGGTCGGCCTCTCACCCTCCCGTGGCCATCGACTTCACTGTTCTAGACACTCCACGTCCATGACATCGCGTCGTATGGTTTTGTGGCTGGTCTTCACTCAGCGCAGTGTCTGCACGGCCCGTCTGCCTGGTGGCAGGTTAGCAGGACTTCGCTGCTGCTCACTGCTCACGCCCTTGTGTTTGGGGACGCACCGCACTTTGTCCGTCCGCCAGTTGGCGCACATATGTGTTATTTCTACGTTATGGCTGCTTTTAAAGATTTTATTCATTTTTAGAGAGAGGGGAAGGGAGGGAGAAAGAGAGGAAGAGACACATCAGTGTGTGAGAGAGACATCCTCTGGTTGCCTCTCGCACTGCCCTAGCCAGGGACCTGGCCTGCAACCCAGACAGTTGCCCTGATGGGGAAATGAACCTGTGACCTTTCAGTTTGCAGGGTGAATGCCCAACCCACCGAGCCACACCAGTCAGGGCTTTATGGCTGTTATAAACCATGCTGCCATGGACGTTCATGTAAAACATTCTGTGTGGATACATTACCCCATTTTAAAGGTAAGGAAACAGGCTCCCAGAGCGGAAAGCTCTTGCCTAGGCGCCTCCAGCCGGTGAGTGGAGGACGCGGGCTGGCTGTGCCCGTCTAGAGCGTGTGCTTCCCCACCCAGGAGCTGCGCTAAGTGCGGTGACAGAGCTAGGTCAGGACAAAACGGAGTGAGGGGTGACTTTACGGAGGAAGGAATGACAGGTTCCCCGGGCCTTGCAGAAGGAGGAGGAGCGGGGAAGACATTGCAGGTAGAGAAGCAGTGGGTGCAAAGGCCCACAGGTGTGAGGCATCTGGGAGCTGAGCCCTAAGGAGTTCCTGTCATGGGGGGGGGGGGAAGGGAGAGGCAGAGAAAGGCGCTGTAGGTGACAGGGCTGGAGACACAGGCACAGGTGAGATTTAAAAGGCCTTCGTGTCCTCCTTTCTTCAGGAAGCTAAGCCATAAATATACGTTTTTAATTAAGTATATATCCATGAGGGTAAGTTTATTTCAAAACAATTTCTGGCCGGTGAGTTGTGTTTTCGTGTGCCTCATCGCGAGACAGTGCTGCGGGCGGCACCACACTGCTGCGGCCCAGAAACTGGTCGTTTTCACGTCACTTACTGTAACACAGGAAAACAGGTCTTTCCTAGAGGATTTCTGAGCTTCTCTGCGTGTCTGTGTAGTAGGGATGCTGTTCACATCTGTGTTGCTGCCCGCATAAGAATCAGGCCATTTCCTGTTGTCACAAGACCAGGATTTGCCGCTCCTCTGCCTCGGGCACTGAGTCCGCAGGGGGCATGGTTGCCCATCCCGCTGCAGATCTTCGACAGCTTCGGCAGGACGTGACTCTATTCAGGTCCTTCCAGGCTTGGCGTTTTGGATTTTTAGAAGGTGCAGTGGGTGTAGTAGCCCATTTCTTTTGCACACAAGAAGCTTTATAAAATTTTATTCCCAAACCCCTTATTTTGAGAAGCTATTTTGTATATAAGAATACTGTTGAAATAGAACATTGGTTTTTCTAGATACTAAAGTTTTGTATATTGAGCAAGGTAATTCTGAAAGTTAAAACTTTAAATGTTAGAACGTTATGTTATTGTTAATTGTTCTATATTATATATTCAATAGGAAATCACGGTTTATCAATAAAAGTTAAAATTCCCATCTTGAAAAAAGAGGCCTTGAATGCCATGCTAAGCACACGAACTTGACCCTGAAGGCAGGGTGGCGACCCAGCTGGACACCAATGTAATGTGAAGTCAGACAGACCTAAGGCAAACCCCAGTTCTGCTTCCATGAAACCTTTGTTTTAGTGTGTCATGTGCAGAATGCAGATGACAAGAACAATACCTTGTTTAAAGCGCCGTTGCGGGGACTGAGTCCGGGTCTCCGGAGAGCTCCGCCCAGGGCCTGGCAGAGTGCCAGCCCAGCCGTGGGAGTGGGCGTCACCATCCTCACAGGGTATTGAGCAGGGGCTGCCAAGGTCAGCTCCGTGTTGTGTAAGGAAGGGTGTCTGGCTGCCCAGGGACTGGTCCAGGGAGGCTGTTGTCCGGGGGAGGGGCCAAGACAGCATGGGGATGGAGAGCCACGGGCAGGCTTGGGAGAGTGTGAGGAGATAACTTCTGCAGACTCTGAGACTTTGGGAATTGCTCGTGAATAATATCTAAATTCTGATTTTTTTTGTGCGTCCCCGGGCCTGGTGCCAAACCACCCAGGGGCTGGGCTTGATGGCCCCTCTCGGTTCCTCCTTGCAGCTCGCTCACTGACGCCATGCGGTGGGCTCCGATGCCCCTGTCTACACCGCCACCTCTGCTGCCTCCGCTGCTGCTGCTGGTGCTGGGGTGCGGGCCGAGGGCGGCCGCCGGTGGCGGCGCCGTAGGAGCAGCGGGCTACGCACCAGTGAAGTACGTGCAGCCCATGCACAAGGGACCTGTGGGGCCGCCCTTCCGCGAGGGCAAGGGCCAGTACCTGGGTGAGCACCACCTCCTCCCTCGCCAGGTCACAGCCCCTCAATCCCCGCCGAAGATCCCATCTCCACTTTCTTCCTGATGCTAGTCCGGGGCCTCCCGAGGGCCTCAGTCAGCTGGCTGGCTGCGGAGGTCTTTAGTGGGGTGGAGGAGGGGCAGGCAGGTGTGCGGGGTGGGGGTGGGGGAGTAGAGGGGCAGTAGTCTGCTCCAACCGGCTCTGGAGGGCGGCTGGCGCCACCTGGTGGCCATTTTACACCACGTCAAGCAGGGATGAGAAGGCTCCCCAAGCTCTGGAGGACGGCCCATCCTGGGTAACTTGGATGCTAAGAGCCCTGGGTGAGGACACCCTGAGGTCCCCAGGATTGCCAATGGACCCCCTAAACTCCATCTTTCATGAGAGCAGGGAGGGGGGAGCAGGGCATGGTCTTCATGAACAGATACAGGGCCTTATCTTCTCCCAGTGCACCCCGTGCTGGTGTGTGGGAGTGGGTAGATGGGTTCTCTGTCCTTCTGACCAGGCCCCTGACTACCCTTTCTCTTTCTCTCAGAAATGCCTCTCCCGCTGCTGCCAATGGATCTCAAAGGAGAGCCCGGACCCCCTGGGAAACCTGGGCCTCGGGGCCCCCCCGGCCCTCCTGGCTTCCCAGGAAAACCAGGCACTGGAAAGCCAGGATTACATGGGCAGCCTGGCCCGGCCGGCCCCCCTGGCTTCTCCCGGATGGGCAAGGCTGGTCCCCCAGGGCTCCCGGGCAAGGTTGGACCACCTGGGCAACCCGGGCTTCGTGGGGAGCCAGGGATACGAGGGGACCAGGGCCTCCGGGGGCCTCCCGGGCCCCCTGGACTCCCTGGGCCCTCAGGCATTGCTGTCCCTGGGAAACCAGGCCCCCAGGGGGTGCCCGGGCCACCAGGATTTGGGGGGGAGCCAGGGCCTCAGGGGGAACCTGGGCCCCCCGGTGATCGAGGCCTCAAGGGGGATAATGGGGTGGGTCAGCCAGGGCTGCCTGGAGCCCCAGGACAAGGGGGTGCCCCTGGACCCCCCGGCCTGCCTGGTCCAGCTGGCTTGGGCAAACCAGGTTTGGATGGGCTTCCTGGGGCCCCTGGAGATAAGGGTGAGTCTGGCCCTCCCGGGGTGCCAGGACCCAGGGGGGAGCCAGGGGAAGTCGGCCCAAAGGGGCCCCCTGGGATCGATGGTGTGGGGATCCCGGGGTCAGCAGGAGTGCCAGGGCCACAGGGCCCAGCAGGGGCCAAAGGAGAACCAGGGACCCGAGGCCCCCCTGGTCTCATAGGCCCCACTGGCTACGGGATGCCAGGACTGCCAGGCCCCAAGGGAGACAAGGGCCAAGCTGGGGTTCCAGGGCTCTTGGGAGACAGGGGCGAGCCAGGTGAGGACGGAGAGCCAGGGGAACAGGGCCCACAGGGCCTCGGGGGCCCTCCTGGACCTCCAGGCTCGGCAGGGCTCCCCGGAAGACGTGGGCCCCCTGGGCCTAAGGGGGAGGTAGGGCCCGGAGGACCCCCAGGAATGCCTGGCATTCGGGGTGACCAGGGGCCTAGTGGCTTGGCTGGGAAACCTGGACTCCCAGGAGAGAGGGGGCTTCCAGGGGCCCATGGACCCCCTGGACCAACTGGGCCCAAGGGCGAACAGGGTTTCACGGGGCGCCCCGGGGGACCAGGGGTGGCAGGAGCCCTAGGACAGAAGGGTGACTTGGGGCTCCCTGGACAGCCCGGCCTGCGGGGTCCCTCAGGAATCCCAGGACTCCAGGGTCCAGCTGGCCCTGTCGGGCCACAGGGTCTGCCAGGCCTGAAGGGCGAACCAGGCCTTCCAGGGCCCCCTGGAGAGGGGAAAGTGGGGGAACCTGGCGTAGCTGGGCCTACAGGGCCACCTGGAGTTCCCGGTTCCCCAGGACTCACAGGTCCTCCTGGGCCTCCTGGGCCCCCTGGCCCCCCTGGCGCCCCTGGGGCCTTCGATGAGACTGGCATCGCCGGCCTGCACCTGCCCGACGGTGGAGTGGAAGGCGCCGTGCTGGGCAAGGGCGGCAAGCTGCAGTTCGGGCTGGGCGAGCTGTCGGCCCACGCCACTCCCGCCTTCACCGCTGTGCTCACCTCGCCCTTTCCTGCCTCCGGCATGCCTGTAAAATTCGACCGGACTCTCTACAACGGCCACAGTGGCTACAACCCTGCCACGGGCATCTTCACCTGCCCCGTGGGCGGGGTCTACTACTTTGCTTACCACGTGCACGTCAAGGGCACCAATGTGTGGGTGGCCCTGTACAAGAACAACGTGCCAGCCACCTACACCTATGACGAGTACAAGAAAGGCTACCTGGACCAGGCGTCGGGCGGGGCTGTGCTCCAGCTGCGGCCCAACGACCAGGTCTGGGTGCAGATGCCCTCGGACCAGGCCAACGGCCTCTACTCCACTGAGTACATCCACTCCTCCTTTTCAGGGTTTTTGCTGTGCCCCACATAACCCGTGGGGCGCTGCTGCCCTGGCCGCCTCCTCTTTAGTGGTAGAGAGAACTTCTCAGTTACAAAGAATCTGCATTTAAAGAAAAAAACCAAAGGCTGGACAGAGGTGGGAACAGAGGGGGCCTGGCCCGAAGAGACTGACTTCGCTTCTCCCTCCATGCAGGCTGAGGCTGTTTCTGGAAGAGGCTGGCCTGAGTCCCTCCTTGCCCGACTGTCTGTGCGGTGTTGGGGTTGTGACCCCCTGGCTGCAGGCAGGGCCCCGGCACACTCAGTCCAGCTGTTGGGGGTCCCTGACTCCTGAGTCCCGGGCTCTGCTGGGTGGTGCAAGACGCTGCTTCTCTGTGAGTCAGAGCTGAAAGAGGACTGAGCTTCCCCTTCCATCCCCTTGGGTGGTGGGGGGCACATATTAGCAAACCCCTCCCTCCTGCTGCCCTCAGATGGCACCCGCTTAGGGAACGGGGCATAGCCTCCCGGTTTGTGGCTGGGGCTCTTCCAGCCACATGCTGGTGGGTCCCGGGAAGAGCTTCCCTCCCGGGAAAGGGAGAGGAGGGGGCCAGTGTGGACACCCTGCCATGACAGCCGTCCCAGGCGTGCTGCTGTGGCACCAGGCACGCAGAGGTGCGTGTTCCCTTCTGCAGCCCTCCAGTGCAGCCACGGGGGATGGGGTTTGTGCGGGCCGGGGCAGGACAGCAGGTCTTCACAGGCATCTCATCTCCTAGGCTGCCCCCACCAGCTCCGGCTTTGCTCATGCAGAGGGCTGCTGCCCAGGCCCCTGGACAGGGGCACAGGCAGGGTCCACTGTCAGTGAGTGGGAGTATTCCGCCCTTCTTCTCTTTTTGCTCCCTGGGAGGAGGGCTGACTTTCTCACACAAAATTGTAAGGGATCCTTGCCACCCCCAACCCAGGTGACCCCAAGCGGGCCTTTTGTTTGGCCCGCAGAACCAGGTGCGCACGAGCTTGGGGGCAGAGGCTCTGCTTGCTCTTCCTTAATAAGAACCACATGTACGTGTCTACTGAAGGGGTTAACTGGAGGGGCTTCCTCTCCCCCTGCCTCTGGTTCCGATTTCCTGCTCTAAGCAGGATTAGGGCCCGGGAGGCCAAGGCTTTGGGGGAACGGGCGCCAGTAGGCCCCTGTGGAACGAACTGGCTCTGGGTGTTTCGGCAGTTCCCCCGGTCAGAGCTCCCCTCCAAGAGACAGGCAGGACCCCCTCCCCTCTCCTCAGCCCCCAGTCCAAGCTGAGTGGGTAAAGCCAAGGTTAGTGTTGGGGCAGGGATGGTGGGCACTCTTGCTCACGCAAGGATGGCCACTCTCCCAGCGGCGGGGGCCTCCCCAGGCCGGCAGGCCTCCCCGGGCCAAACGCGAGCCCGGGTCAGTCAGCGTGACCTGCCGCACTGCTCCCGTTCCGCCCGGCCAGACCGTCCCTGTAGAGAATGGAGGGTAACGGCTGACTTCTGGCCCGCTGAACAGCAGCTCCCACGGGCCCCTTGCCAGTCCTCCTCCCCACGACGTCTCCCAGCGGAGCAGGCCGACCCACTACTCAGGCTAACTTTCAAAAGGAGAAATGAAAACCCAAATCTGCCCAAGTGACACTTTAAGAACAGGTTTTGGTTGGGGTTCACGGGGGATTTCTTACTCCCGAACACCTGAGAGAACTATCTCAAACCATACCTGGTGGGCCCTTTGCTCGGCCCCCTTCCTGGGTCAAAGCCACCGCCGTCTTGACCTGTTAGGGAGGGGCTCTGATGGGCCGAAATTCATCCGCTCCCGGTGGGAACCCGGGGACTAAGGAGGGTTTAGGGGAGCCAAAAAAGCTATTTCACAAAACTGAGTTTCTGCTCAGTCACTCCTGACGCTTTTGAGAGGGGTGGTTGGTGCTTCTGAAATGTTATGTTCCAGGTGTTGTCTACTTAATTGGCCAGCTTGGTTAAGTGATGTCAGGTTTTAACAATGAAAACTACATTACCTTGTGTGTTTTTATATTGATTCGTTTTTTCTTAAGATTAAGGTTTAAACATTTTTTAAATTTCATTTCTTACTTGGTATAAGAAGCTTCTCTACATACCTAGTATGTGTCCGGTGTCACAGAACATTTGGGGAAAATGCATTTGGAGGAATTAAAGAAATCAGGATTTCTCTTTGAAAAGAAAAACCATGGTGCCGACTGCACCAACTCGGCCTCAATAAATCTGTCATATAAACCAGTACAGCGCCGGGACGGGCGTTGACGCAGGGCAGTCTCCAGACCCTGGGTTTTATGAGGCGTCCAGGGCGCCTGCTGGGGCTCTCGCTCCGAGCCCCCTGGAGCTGCCCAGGCGCGGGCTCCGTCACCGCTACATCAGGGACGCGCAATGCTCCTCAGCTACCCCGGCTCCGCACCAAGGAAGTGCCCTGCGGCACTCCAAGAAACCAAAGGATCAAGCTTCCCTGGAACATTCCTGCAAGTTCTCGGGGGCAGTGGGGCGTGACGACTAGCTCAGGACCCCGAGGGCCAAGTTTCAACATCTGATACAAATTATGAATGAAATCAGGAATCTTTGCTCTCGTGGGCAGGGCAAGTGCCAGACCCAGTGCTTACAGCTGGGCTGCTGCAGCTGTCCGGGGCAGAGCGCACCCACCCCACATCCTGCCATGATCGGCAACTAGGATCTGCCCCTGGCTGTGGAAATCGGGGTGACATACCCGAGGCCAGCCCCATGCCCTGTCACGTCCTGTGGTTGGCCCCAGCCTGGCAGAACCCTGTCTGGGCGGAAAGCACACCTGCTTAGCAGCCCCGAGACCTCAGGCCAGCTGCAGAGGGCACGACTCTCTCCCCTAGGGCTGGCAGGATGCTCAGAGACTGAGCCCTGTTTGATGGAGGCGTTGCCTCCCTTTCAATTTTCTCTTCTTTGAAATGGACGGTGTGCAGAACATCCTAAAGGCTGAGGCCTTTGACTGGGGCCCGAGATGCCCAACGAGGCAGCTTTCAGGGCCCCCCAGGCCGATGTGCTTCCCCAACCAGAGCGAGCAGTTTGGGGATAGGAAGGCGCCCTCGGCCTCCTCCTACGGGGTTCCATTTCGGGCCTGCCAGGGCCTGGGCCCTACCTGGGGAGCAACACATGAAGTCAGGCTCTGAGAGCAAGAAAACCTGTCTTGGTCCCTGCCCCGTGCCGGGGTCGCTTTGCGTGGTCTCTGACAGGAAAAGTCTACTCTGCCCTTCCCTGCAGAAGGACACAGCTGGCAGAACAGGAGGAAATCGCCTCAAAAACCCAGCAGCTCTCGCCCTGGGATCCTAGCTCCTAGGAGGGTGCAGTCCAGACAGAGAGAAGCCAAGCACGAAGGGTCGAGGTGGGGAGAATCCACTCCGGGCAGAAGAGAAACAGAGGGAACCATACTGGGATTTACCAAAATCCGTTTATTGCTCTGTGACTCCTGCTGGAAGCTGTTAGGCCCCGTGACGGCCAAGGGCCAGATGTGTATGGAGGTCGGTTCAAGTGCCTGTCTCTTCTGTCCAGGGAACCTGCTGCTGGGACCCTGCCCAGTCAAAGACAGGCTTCCGGGCAAATGAGCTAAATCCCACCCAGAAGTGACGCTGCTGTGGATCACGTCCACCTCCCCAATTCTATGTCCTAGATGATAAAAAAAAATGCCACAGGTACCCTCCAATAAAACCTGCCCTGGTTCCTCCTGTCCGCCTGAGGAGCAGGGGTGCCCAAGGCTCTGTAGGAAGCCGGAAACCCAGCACCAGGGCGGCACCAGTCCCTCACTCACTGTTCCAACGGCCTCCCCCAGAGACCCCAGCCCTGGGAGTGTACTCCGCCCACGCGGCCGGAAGACTGAGGCAGGGAGCAAAGTCCGAGGAAGCTCAGGGTTTCCAACCTGAGCTGAGGTTGGTCCCGCCGGACATGGCAGAGCCCCAGCAACTGCAGCCCTCATGGACTCTTCTGGAAGACTCGGTGCAGGCTCTGGGCCAGGATGTCTGTCTCTTCATAGCCCTCGCAGCTTTGCTGCCAGCTCTCTGGCACCTGTTCTATCCCATAGTAGGCACCAGCAATGGCCCCAGCCATGGTGGCAATGGTGTCTGTGTCCCCACCAAGTGAGATGGAATAGATGAGAGTCCTCTGGAGGCTATTGAAGGTAGAGGGGATCTCGGGGTCGGGCTCCATGCAGCGCAGGAAGCAGTAGATGGCGGTGGGCACAGATTCAAAGGCAGCAATGCCGTTGCCTGTGGGGACACCAGATTATAGGGACTCGACTCCACGCCCCCACAGGTCCCTGGGCTTCCTGCCACCGGCCACAAGCCAACACTCTCAGCTTCAAGTTGAGCTGTGACTAAGATCACAGGCTCTACAGCAGGGTGTCAAACTTGTTTCCACCAGGAGCCACATCAGCCTTGAGGTGGCCTTCAAAGGACCAAATGTATTTTAGGACTGGATAAATGTAACTGCTCCGTAACAGTTAAGGAGTTGAAATCGGCCCTTTGAAGGCCACCTGGAGGCAGATGCCGCCCCTCCTCTATCGCTACCTGGGTTGAAACCCTGGCTCCTCCACCTGCTGGCTGGGTGCCGGGAAAGCACCCTAATGACCAAGATTCCTGTATCTTGGGTTTGACTCCTTGTGTAGAGTGGATGGGATTAGGAGCTCTCACAGGGCTGGTTTATATCGAACAGACATAAAGCATTCTGCACAGTGCCCAGAATACAGTAAAAGTGCTATATAAATAAACAGTGGTTATCGGCATCAGCTATGAGAACTGGTGGTCAGCTGCCACTTCTGGGAATATTTACCTGTGAGGCTGAAGGAGGTGCTGTAGCCCCAGAGCAAGAAGGTGCTACGCTCACTCAACACCTGTCATGGACCCTACAGAGCTGGCTCTGTGTCACACCAGCCCCAGGTAAAAACAATGGCAGGTACGACCCCTTGCTCCCCTCTCACCCAAGGCCAGACCTGACCCTGAAGGATGACAGGTGTAGGGGGACTGCCCACCTAGTTCAGACACCACCTCCTCTCTTGTCACCGAGTCCTGTTCTAGAAGCTCTCCGATCTTCTTCAGGCGGCTGGAGTATGGACGTTCCTCCATGCCCAACCTGTGGGTTGGGGACAAGATTGCAGGGAAGCTGAAGTCGGGCCAGGCAGGGCTGTGTGGGAGGGTGAGGTGGGGACGTGGCCAGGCTGACACCCAGGCCCAGGTGTCCTAACAAGAACTGGGTGAGGGCTGGGTGTGAGCTGCCTGCTTTGTTGTCTGGGACCCCAAACCTTGCTTGAAGCACACAGCCAAGGTGAAGAGACTCTCCACACCCCTCCCTAGAGTCTGCAGCTAAGGAAGGTCTCAGCTGTGACAATACCAGAGGAATCCACCCTATATGCATGCACACTCACAAACACACCTCCAGCCGCCTCCATCCCACATACTCACTCCTTGGCATCTGAGACGGACTGGGAATCACTCTCCAGCTCCTCCATGTGGCCCAGGAGTTGCTGGAGGAAGTGCTCACTGGACAACTCCCCCTGCAAGGCCAGGTGCACAGCCAGGGCCTGCAGGATGGCGCCATTGTAACCCAGGGAGGAGGCGTGTGTCAGCTGGGCCGAGAGCCGGGCAAACTAGGGCAAAGGCAGTGGAGACTAAGACCCGCTGTCACAGAACCCAGAGAAGAGGGGGGCAGGGAGGGGACAGCCCAGAAGCCAGCCCGCCCAGACTACCTTCTGCACATCCTGGATGCTGCTGTAGGCTAGGGAGATGCCAGCCACCCGCATGGCACCCCCGTTGCCATAGGAGCCTTTCCCGTTGAACTGGGCTCGAGCAGGCTCATAGACGTCTCGGCACTTGGGGCTCAGGAGCTTCTTGAAGACAGTGATTACTCCAGCACCATAACCCCTGTCGGGTTCTTTTCTGTACTCCTGAGCAAATCTAGGGGATGGAAGGAAGGCAGGATGAGGGTTTCAAAGATGCCTGTCGGTGCAGGGAGAGAAGAAACCTGGCTGCTTTGGGAAACCAGGAAGCCCCGGGCCTAAGGAGTCTGTTCCAGTAGGGCTGTCATTTCTAGCCTGGGAAGCTGCAGTGGCCCTAGAAGTCGTTTCCCGCTGAGGGTGGGGTCCCAGCATGCACGACACCACTGCTCTGGCCAAGGGGTGCAATAACGCTGCCCACCTGGCTTGCCTCATCCCAGGACCATCCCCCTTACCTGTGAGCCATGTCCACCTCGTCAAAAGCCTCCTTGGACAGCAGGGACTGCACCAGGGCCCTGGACATGGCTGTGTCATCTGTGTAGTACAAAGTCTCTGCAGGGACAGGGTTGGGGGGCGGGGGGAGAGGAGTTGCAGGGCTCAAGGGTGGCAGCTTGGGCCTCCTGCTCACGCCTTTTACTTTCCACTTCTAGAATGCCGTAGTCAGCCTCTCACTCCCACCCAATTTCCTGGGCTCCAGGCCTTGGGGTTTTCAGTAATTCTTTGTTCCGAGTCAGTGACCACATCCTGCTGATTTTGGAAGGAAAACCTTCCAACCCCTCTGGCTGCCAGAGCAGCAGCTCTAGCCTTAATACTAACTGCTATGGGCCTCTCAAACGTTCTGTGCATTCCCTACCCCCTACCAGCCCATATGCGCAGCCAGAAAAATCTTCCTAGGAGTACCACACCCTTTTCCTTATCTCACTCTCCTGCTCTAAATGGCTCTCCGTTGCCTTCAGGACGAGGCCCATGTTCACTGCCTTCGCATTCAAAGTTCTCCCCTCTTCACTCATACCTCACCCCCAATCCCCGGGACCAGTGTTGGAGGCTGGGTCAAGTCCTTCCAGCCAGCAGCACCCATCCCTCCTGCTGTCCCCAATCCTTCCTCTGGGTGCCCAGGAGGACCACCCTGGCATGTCCAACACAGCACCACTGCTTATGTGGTGACTTTGCAAACAGGCCATAAAAGGACTAGGGACAGGGACTGGATTTTATTTGAAGAGCCAATTACAGAGAACAAAGTACACTCCAGCAAGCCCCATTTCCTGTCCTTGCATCTGCCATGCCACCCTCTCTCTGTGCACGCCAAGCCCCGACCCCACTTTCCCCTCCCCTTGTACTGCCAGGAGGCCCACCACCTACTTCACCAGGACCAGAGGCTAACAGCCCTCGTATCTACAGCTGTACTCTCCAGTCTCCCTAGAGGGAGGAAGGCCCTCCCCCGGTTCACCCCCCCCCCCCCCGCCCAGTTCCTGGGGAGCTGGTTCTTCCTTTGTCCCCTCTTCTGTTTCCTCAGTATCTCCCTACGTGGTGGAGCAGCACCCACTTGCACTCGCACCCTGCTTTTCCCCAGGGAACCACTTCTCTCCCATTCTCGGTCCATGTGATTAGCGCATGGAGCTAAAGCCACCTCTAGCCTGGTCAGGGAGCACACCCATTCCTTTGTTCAGGGAGGAACAGATGACCTAAACCTAAGACTCCTGGGAATTTTTTATGGGGACTACTGCAGAGAAAAATTCTTCCTCTGTGGGAGCTGATGGGGGCCACCGCAAAAGGGTCTGCCAAAGGGAGTGAAGCCCACCAAGAAGAACGCAGATCTGAACAAGGAGAGGAACTAGGTCTGGGGAGGGCCTCGCTTGAAGCCAGGCCTCTTGACCTCAGTTCCGTCAACGTGTTCTTGCTCAGGCCATTTTGAGTTCGGTTTTCTGCCAAACCAAAGGGTCCCTAAGGGACCCTTTCTTGCACCAAAGGGTCCTAAAACACCTCTTAACCTAAAACCTGTTTTACCCTCATGTTAACACCAAACCAAAATGGAATTAAAAACTGTGCCTGCATCTTCCCTTCTCTCCTTCCCTTCATGCTAAATCATACTCTATTTCCCCGTTTCCTCCTAAACCCACTGAATTCTGACTTCCAGGCTTCAATCTTCTAGGGAAAACGCTTTTCTAAATCCAAATTGCCCTCTTCTTAACCTGTCTGCAGCACACCGGGGACCAGCGTTTTCACCTTGAAATGTGCTGGGGTTTTGTTGACACGCTGCCTGCTTCTCCTCCTGTCAAACTTTTCTTCTCTAGCTCCTTTTCCTCTTCCAGGGTTCAGCCCCTATTCCTTGCTATACTACAGCTCTCCAAGAATCATCCCCTGCTTGACCCTCAGACGGGATATTGAGCCCAGATCCGAGTGAGGAGTTGATTGCGCAAGGAGAGGGAGAAGCGGGGGGCGGGGCCTTATAGGGACAACAAAGGCAAAGGCAAAGGCAAAGGCAAAGGCACGGGAACAGGCCTGGGCTAGAGGACCCATGATGTGAGAGGAGCTGAGCCACAGAAAGCGAGTACGGGTCGGTGTAAGATGAAACCGGCCAGGGAGGAAGGGCCGGCCTGGTAGGACAAGCAAAGGAATTTGGCTCTATCTTAAGGGTAATGGAAAATCACTGCAGACTTTCGTGTGGGGGAAGCCGCGATAAGATCTGTTTTGAGCCGTGCGCTCCCTGCTGAGTGGAGAATGGACTCGGGGTGCATTGATTCCAGACGGCTGGGTGAAGAGTGGTAAAATCGGTAGTATGTATATAGTGGACTAGGCGCAATTTAGGAGAATGACGCCCAGGTTTCTGGCTTGCACAACGGTAAGGATGGTGTTGCCACGCCCGGAGTTGGGAAAGGTTCTGGTGACGATGGTGCTCGGATTTCGCCATGCTGAGCTCAGGATGCCCTGCAAGCCGTCCAGCCCCCAGATCTGGCCGCAGCCGCCCTACAGAGCCTCACTTCCTAACACGCGCCTCTCCCCACGGCGCTTACACCCCGTGCTGAATCCTCCGTGGGCACAGCCTCCGCCCTCGCCAGCTCTGTTCCGCCCACCTGTCCGCGCGCTCCCTGGAGAGCCGGGGTCGGGCTCCAGGCTCTGGACGTGATGCAGGACTGACGTCAGGTTGACGGTGTCGTGCGCCTCGTAGAAGGCGCCTACGCAGTCCCCGAGCAGCGCGCCAGCTAGGCAGCCTCGGAAGCGAGAAAGGGAGCGGGCTGCCCCAGCCCCTCCGCAGCCCGCCGTCATCGCTGCCACCACAGCAGCCGCCATTGGCGCTGACCCGACACCACTTCCGGTGCGGCTGGCATGTGCCCCAAGGTGCGCTTAGCCCCTATCCCCTTGCGCCCCAGCCCACAGCGCTACCCAGTGGCCGGGAGGCGCAGGTCCGCGTGCTAGGGACCAGAGCCGGTCCTGCAATGCTAGTTGAATTCCACTAGGCCTTTGCTTTTGGCCCCCATTTTCCCTCCCCCTGTCTGTAACCGGTGTCACATCTGGCAGGAGGGCCACTAAAGGGTCCCAGAAGTGACTATCGGACCGCAGCAGTCCTGCCCTTTCAGGCCACTGCCTTCGGGGTCCTGCCTTTCTGAAGCCTCACTCTGCCCTACCACCCCAGCCCTCCCACGGCAGCCCCTTTCCTTGGCCCCCACGCAGGTCTGGGCCTGCATCCTCAAATCCCACTGTGATGCTAGCCTCCTGTGGGCCTCCCCTGGGCCTTAAAAGGTCTGGCAAGGGTTCAGCTAGGGCAGAGCTGATCGAAAGTCATCCTGCTGTAGCCCAGCGAGTGCAGACCTAGGCCAAAGGGCTCCCTGAAAAGGAAGAAGGGATCGGATTTGGAATTTGGGGCTTGGTGGATGATGGTCACCATTTTTGCTCCTTCATTCACAGGAGGGCCATTTACTCTCTGCTGACTACATGCAAGGGTAGCAGAAAACCTTCTAGACTGAGAACCCCAACATTTATTAGATTCATTTTCTCCAAACCCCTTTCTCTTCCATTCCCTCCCACCTAACCTTCCTCTCCCCCCTCAGCCCCCAAGGCTAGGCCAGCTCCAGCTGGCACCTCTTGAGTGGACTCATGGTACGGTTTGTGGTGCGGGTGAAGGTGTCCACCTCGGGCGTAAACTTCTCAGCAGGCACAGTCAGCTTCCGACGAATGTCCATGCACTTGGTGTCCAACAGCATGGAGTTGGCCTTGCAGGCGATGTCAGCCTGCAGCCGGGCCAGGTGCTTGTACAGGGCATCCAGAGCATCCCTGGGGGAGGAGGCGGTAACAACCCACCAGCCCTGCATGAGGCTGGAAGGTGAAAGAAGGCAGCAGGAAAGCCAGCAGGCAGCAAGTGCCCCTCCTGCCCACTCCCACAAACCTACTGTGCTTGTGCCAGCTTCTGCTTTAGGGCAGCTATGGTTGCCTCTAACTGGTGGACCTCATCCGTGAGCCCGTACTGTGCCTGGAGGCAGAGATGAGGGTTGGGAGTCCCAGGTCAGCCATACTATCCTTCAGCCCAAGGGCTTGGGTATGCCTTCTGCCAGCACCCCTGCTCCACCAGAGCTATGTGCTGGGTGGGGAGTGATCCTGGGGAAACTTTAGCAGGTGGGCAGTGCCCCACTGGGGTGCCCTCGCACCTGGTCCCGGCAGAGTTCCACATTGGGCCGGTAGGTTCTGGACTCCAGCCGGGTATGGCATAGCTTCAGGTCCAGTAACTTCCTGCGCAGATCCTCCTCCAGGTTCCGGATGTCCTCCTGTAGCTCAGCAATTTCCTCCAAGGTCTGCAGGGGACAGAGTGACCAGTGTCCACTGGTCGAAGCCACCATGGTGCACCCAGGGCTTCCTGGATGGGCACTGGGCTCCTCATCCCACAGTGGGAGGGAGAGGGCTCACATTCTTCTCCTGCCACTTGAGCTCACTGTAGGCTTTCTCCATCTCCCGCAGCCGCTTCCTGAATGCGAATTCTGTCGCAACCCTCTGGGCTTCAAGTTCATTGTTGGTCTGAAGGACAGGAAGTGGGCCAGGCAAGAAAGAGTGGAAGCTCATGACCACCTGAGGATGCCGCTCAAGTGCAGGGTTGGGAGGCCACGTGGCAACAGGGAACAAAAGCGAAAGGCATGAGTGCACACTCTGGCCACCTGTTAGCCCTGGAGGAGCAGGGTCAGGGGAGTGGTCAGCTACCTCAGCAATGGTGAGGAAGATGGCCTCCCTCAGCTCTCTGGCTTCCTTCATCTCAGCCTCCGCCCGGTTCTTGTTGAACTGACTGAACTCATCCCACTGTTGGAGCGTGGAGGAGCTGCGGGTGGCGGGAAATTCCAAGGTCATAAACCTAGGGCCACCGTGGGGTTGGGGGCAGGAGAGACTGATGAAAACACTTCTTACCCATTGGGGACACGGGTGGGATTGATCTTCAGAGAGATGTTTGGGGACTTGAGGTTGAGAGAGAGGCAACCTCTGTCGATGTCCAGGGTCTCCATTTTGCCCCGGTGGTCGGAGTTGAGCTGCTGTCGGACTTCCTGCAGGAGGCTGGGGAAGGAGCAGATCAGCTCACCATCCTTCGGAGCCCCCAGACTCAGCCCCCATTGTCCTGCAGGGCCCCTGAGGGGTGGGGAGCCGAAGTGACAACGGAGCTGTTGCTGCAGCTGGGACAAAGATCACAAAGCTGGATGAGCTCCTCACAGACAAAATGATGACACCCACATGCTTGCACACAACCACAGGGGCACACGTATCAGTTACGCTCACAAAGGCTTGCACGTACACACTCACAATAGGGTATTCAGCCAGAGGTGGTGGCAAATGGGCTTCATCGCTCATATTTCCAATCAATTGACAATGGCTCTCTAAGCAGGGCGGGGAGAAGTACTCTGAGGGCATGTCTAGGCCGTGGAAAAAGTGTTACAATCAGTTAGTGGTTTCTGCCGTGGACGCAGCAGGGACTGAAGGTGGCCTGAGGGCCAGCTGCTCGTCACCCACAGCCCACACGTTACACATTTAAGACACGCAGCCCTCGGGTGCAGGCGCGCATGAGAACGACCCATCTCTTCCTTACCAGAGCTTCTCAAAAGTCTGGCTGATCTTCTGTTGCAAGGCCTTCTTGGTGGCATCGATGACCTCCACCTCCTTGTGCAGCTCTTCCTCCACAGGGTCCTTCACCACGTCAATGTCACGCCGACTGTCCCGCAGGGTCAGGCACTCGATCGCCACGTCCAGAGGCAGGTTCTTGGCCTGCAGGTTTTGCTCTGCTGATTCTTTCATCTGGAAACATGAAGGCACAGAAGGAGGCTGGTGGGCCACTCACTGGGGGGCCGGCTTTCATTCCCATGTTAACGGAGGGGCCAGCGAGTGACTCAGATGGACATGCCACTAAATGCCCCTTTGCGGGTTCCCAGACCTCAAGGTGGGGAAGGAAGGGGGGCCTTGCCGAGGGGTTTCCTGTCCGCACCCCCTGCTCAGCTCCCTGCCTGTGTCAGTGCGTCGATCTCTGCATCTAAATCCGTCAGACACTTGTCCAGCATCTCCTTCCATCGGTTGACTGTGTCCACCCTCTCTGCCAGTCGGGTCCTATTGTCGTGTTCATCCCAAATGGTCTGGAAGAGACAGTGCCAGGTAAAGAGGGTGCTTGGGTTTCGGGACTATCCCTTTGCCCCCTGGAGCCCCCGTTCCCAACCTGATTGTTGGTCTCATTACGGAGGACCCGGGCCTCCTGGCGGATCTGGTGTGACGCATCTCGCTTCAGCTCAGCGTTGGTGGACAACAGTTGTGCATTGGTGTGCCAGTCCGGCAGCCGGAAACGTTGGCTGGGCTTGAAACTCAGTGTGGCCATGGTGCTGGGCGCCTAGGCCAGTTCCAAGACACCCACCCCTGCTGGAGAGGGGGACAGGGCTGCGGGAGACTGCTCGGGAGGGCTTCTTCTAGGTCAAACACCCTGTCCAAAGCTCCTGCTGCTGTCCACTCTGCTCCAAGGCCCTTGCTACAGGAAGCCTGCTCGGGAACAGCCCTTGATTTGCTCAACTTCGGATGAGGCATTCACTAAGTTTCCTCCTACCCGCCCATCCACAAATACTAACTCAGGGTGTGTGTGTGGTGCCAAGAGCTTGGTGGAGCTGGTGGGTGGGTGGGGCTTAACAGGAAAAATAGCCCTGGATCGTTTCCAACCCTGCTTTCATCAACCAGATCTTGGGGAGCTTTCTCTTCATTCTCCATCCGGCTTTGGTCAGGACCTGCGAGAGTCCTAAGAGAACAACCCTTTTCTCCACCCAGAGAGGACAGGCTAGTTTTGCCCGGGATATGGGTTGGCATAAGGGAGGGGTTTGTTTTGTTTGTTTTCCCCCCGGGGATTGGGGCGTGTGCTGGTCCTCCTCCCCATCTGCTCATCGCACTCCCTCCGCCCCCCTGCCCCCCCCCACCGGTGGAGGAGGAGCAGCTGGGGTCCGTTTAGCTCCCAGGCGAACTCCGCACCTCCCTTCCCCAGGATAATCGTCTTTGGTTTAAATTACTTGCTCCCCTGGCCTCTCACCTCCTTCCCAGCTCGGCCTTCCACCTCCTCTGGCCAGCTCCTCGGTTAAGTTCCCTGGTTGCTAGGCACCCGCGGGTCCCTGAGCTGGTTACCATCGCCTGCCCCGTGTTTACGTTGGCAACAGAGGGGCTGGGGTGGCCGGGGCCTAGAGGCGGCTGCGGGCCCGCGGCTGCGTGATGGGGCGTGAGGAGGCCCTGGCCAGGAGGACGTGGCGTTCACTTCATTTACAAGTTAAACATTTTAATGTTGATCACTGTTATGCATCAACATCATAAAACTTACATACATAGAAAAAGTAATCTCCCGCCCATGCATTCCCTAGCAGGTATCCTTCCAGAAGTGTGAATATATTTGAGATTATTTGCACGCATTCCTTTGGTGCTGCCCTGTCCAACAATGTCATCCATCTGCCTGACGGCACGGAAGGAATGATGATCGCATTCTGGGAGGGCACATCCCTGGGAGTGGTAATTGCAACATTAGAAGCAAAGCTTAAAACCCAACCATTTTTAAAAAGAGAAGGAAAAACAATTCGACCGTGCCAGTACTGTTCTAGGCCTTGGGAAATGGTAATCTTACTCATTTTTAGAGACAGGGTAAGAAAGAGATGGAGAGAAACACTGACCATATCAGTTGCCTCTCCTACACTTCTGGACGGAGGGACCAAACCCGCAACCCAGGCATGTGCCCTGACCTGGAATTGAACCAGCAGCCTTTCAGTTTGCAGGCTGCAGCTCAATCCACTAAGCCACATCAACTAGGATGGAAATGTTAACATTTACTATTTGTAACTATTAGGCGAGGTAGGCATCATCTCCGTTTCTCAGGTATCTAAAAACCACGTCCTCTGGGCGCTATGACTCCACACTGCCTCTAGTGGTGGCGCGGGAAATCGAGAGGAAGGCAGGGATGCAATTTCTAGCCCAGGGCCTAGTCCTCTCATGGGGTCGGTGCAGAAGGACCTTAGGAAGAGGGGGGTGGGGTGCCATTATCATGTTCGTCTTACAGGCGAGAAAACTGAGGCACAGAGAATCGAGGAACGTGCCCAGGGTCACATAACTAAGTGGGAGAGCCTGGATCCAAGGCAGGCAGTCTGCCTCAGAGGCCAAGTTCAGGTTTGATGGTTGAGGGAATGAGAGGAGTCCAAGAAGACTCCTCAGTTTGAAAACCTCAGTGGTTGGTGGGATGGCGTTAACCTTCCTAAAGGAAGGCGAGGCAGAGAACCAAGAACTTGGTGGGCGAAGGGAGGAGAAAGCTGGCTTTTGAGGAGTTTGCGGTGCTTGTGGTAGACCCAGGTGCTGTCCAGACACGTGAGAAATGCGACCCTGGCAGAAAGACTGGGGCGAGAACATTTTCCGAACCGATGACCACAGAATATTTTTTCCCATAGACTTTTCTAAATCCTAATACATGGCTCATAAACCAGACATACATGGGAAATTGTGCTATAGCTCTTTTACTAGGATTAAAGAAGACCATAAAACATGTCTTGGACAAAGTCATGAAATCCAAAGACCTACAACCAAGACTGCTCTATCTAGCAAAACTTTCATTTAGAATGGAAGGGCAGATAAAATGCTTCTCAGATAAGATCAAATTCAAGGAGTTCATCATCACCAAGCCCTTATTATATGAAATGTTAAAGGGACTTATCTAAGAAAAAGAGGTTAAAAAAACATGAACAGTGAAAGGACAACAAACTCACAGTTATTAACAACCACACCTAAAACAAAAGCAAACTAAAAGGACAGCTAGATCAGGAGTGGAAACATAGAAATGAAGATCTCAAGGAGGGTTAGCAACAGGGGAGTGGGAGGAGGAGAAGGGGGGAGAAGGTACAGAAAATAAGTAGCATAGACAGTAGATAGAAAATAGATGGGGGGCAAGAATAGCATGGGAAATATAGAATCTAAAGAACTTGAGACACACGGTCATAAACTAAAGGGAGGGTAATGGTGGGGACGGGGGGATAGGGTGGAGGGGAATGAAGGGGGGGAATAGAACAACTGTAACAGCATAATCAATAAAAAAATTTAAAATAATAAAATAATAAAAAAGAACGAGTAATGCCGTGTTCTAGTAAGGAACGGCTCCACTAAATGTATTGTTTACCTCTGCCCAGAAGTTTGGGGCATGTGTAACGCGCAAACACACTGCTGAAGAATTTCAGACCTTGGCAAATACCCGGCAACTCCTCAGTGCGTTCACCAGGGAGGTGTTTTCTGCTACAGTGGGTTATGATAACCCCGAGGCCCCGCAAACGCTCCGGGTGATGTCGGTTTCAACTTTCCTCCATTTTTTCTGCTAAAAAAAATTTAGATCAGATGACATTTACCATTTGGAAGAAAAGAGGTCTCCTAGCTGAGCAAACGGCCAAATAAGTGGATAGCCGAGAACTGAGAGAAAGAAGGCTCACACATTACCACAATCCCTGTAAGTTGGGGATATTTTTGGTTCCTATTGGTAGACTTGTGTATTTATTGAAATGAAATAGGAAACTTATTTTTAATCACTAGTGGGCAGTTTTAGCTCTGTGTTTTGTGATCATCTTGATATCTGGTCAAATGTGGACTCATAAAAAGAGCCCCATATGCTCAAAGGAACCCTCACACAGGACATATATACGTTATATCCAAGGAGCGAGTTACTCTGTTTGTGGCAGGAATAAACATCCTTTCTCTGTTTAATACATGTAGTAGCAGCGCGGGGATGGTTTCTCTTGGGTAAAGCAGCCACATCTCGAATGAACGTCAGGAAGAGGAAGATAGGCGCACGGCTGTCATGTGTCTAGTTGTAGTTCCCTTTAGTTGGCTGCGCCGCCTCTTCAGATTTAAAGACCCTGAGTATCCATTCGGTATTCTCATGCACGCAAAAGGATCCTAGAGATACACACAATGAAGCAAGAACGTTTTTTTAAAATGTAAAAAAATGTGAGCCGGAAAAATGTGAACTTATCATTTTTTAAGTGACTGAGATTTAGCCACAGAAGGCGTGAAATGTCTCTGCAGAAAGCCTTTTTCTCTCAAAATCTGTGAAGTCTTGGAATATATATCTTCTCTGTCTTTCTCAATTTTCTCCTCCTGGTAAATGTCATAGATTACCTAATTTAGCAAACTCCAATGATTAAAATAGAGTACAACTTTTATCAAATTAGAACATGTTTAAAAGTACTTTCGTTAAAACTTGGTCGTATGATCTTATTCTAATATGAAAAATAGTATCTTCATAAGGTGCCCCCGCACGTAGCTACTGAAGACAACTTTGCCTGGAGGTGCATATTTGCACAGCCTGCTTTGTGCGCTGTCTTCTGAAGCCTATGTATCTTTCTTTAGGCTGCACTCCTTTTGTTCTATTTTTATTTTTAAAAATGTTAAACGATTCTATTAATTAATTTATTTTTAGAGAGGGGAAAGGAGGGAGAAAAAGAGAGAAACATCAATGTGTGGTTGCCTCTCACATGCCCCCCTACTGGGGACCTGGCTGGCCACCCAGGCATGTGCCCAGACTGCACATTAAAAGGGCGACCCTTTGGTTCGCAGGCCCAGGCTTAATCCACTGAGCCACACCAGCCAAGGCCAGGTTGCACTTCTAATGCCTAGAGGCAAATACAGTGCTTCTTCATACTCCATCTGCTGAGCCTTTCCTACTGAAATTTGCTACCATGCTTCTTGGTCACTACAGATATTGTAAGGTAACTGAATACCAGATTATAATTTCTCCATGATTGTTAACTACCTTTTATCTGGATTCAGTTCAGGTAAGTTATCTTTTTTCCTTTCTTTTTTTTATTTTTTATTTTTATAATTTTTACAGTGATTTATTTATTTATTTATTTATTTATTTATTTATTTATTTATCTTTAGAGGGGAAGGAGAGGGGGAGAGAAACATCAATGTATGGTTGCTTCTAGTGCGTCCTCTGCTGGGAACTGGCCTTCAGGGAACTGGCTTGCAACCCAGGCATGTGCCCTGACTGGGAATTGAACCGCGATCCTCTAGTTCGCAGACCTTCTTTTTTCCTTTCAAGTGGCCAGTCTCTAACAAAATAGTAATTCCCATTTTGATGTGGATGTAAATCTAGAGAAAAACAGATATAAAGACAATTCAGAGGATGAATAATCATTTTATTCACCTTTTTCTGTTTAGGAGCATGTTAAAATATTGTTATTTCCAATATGCAGAAATGCAAAACTGAACATGTTACAAACTTGTTTTGTTTCAGCCTTTCTTCCCTCTTACATGGAAAAACAAAATATAAATTTGAAGACTTTTTTCCTTACGTCTTCTTTCTGCCATATGTAGATAACTGAATTTAAGTCCTCAACTGTTTACTAACATGCTTGGGAAGTGACAGCAAAGATTTAAGTTGTGGTTTCCTATTAAATCAAGTTTTGGCCTTTCTACTTTAGAAATGGGGGAACCGTGACTGTGAAAAAGACTCGGAAGCAACAACAATTTCATGTCACATTAGAGGATTTCTGCTTTAAACTGGGGCTGGCTTTGGCTGTTTACACTCAGTAACCTCCTCTAAGTTATAGTGGAAGATCTTGAGGGCTTTTAAAATTTTTTAAAAGATTTTATTTTTATTTACATTTAGAGAGAGAGGAAGGGAAGGAGAGAAACATCAGTGTGTGGTTGCCTCCTGTGTGCCCCCAAGTGCGGATTTGGCCTGCAACCCACACATGTGCCCTTGACTGGGAATTGAACCAGAGATCTTGAGGTTTTATACGAGTTGTTTTCTAAGGGAGTTGGTGCAATTTCCCCAGAGTAAATTCCAGTATTTATTTTTACGCCCCCAACAGGGGACCTGGCCTGCAACCTAGGCTTGTGCCCTGACTAGGAATCAAACTAGTGACCCCTTGGCTTGCAGGCACTCAATCCACTGAGCCATACCAGCCAGGGCTAAATTGCATTTTGTAAAACATGGAGTGGGTGGAAAGAGTTGGCCTCTTTCACTTTTAGACGTCTTTGTTTGTACATGACTCCAGAGCAAATTGCTTGATTCTGGCCTCTTTTCCAGCTCATTTTTCTGCTGATCTTGCACTTGCCTCAGGCCAAATATATTCATGTTGAAAGCGTCAAGGTTGAGACTTAGTCCAGGCTAAGTACGGGGTCTGACGCAAATAACGCCCCTGTTTATTACAAAATCGTAAGCATGTACTTCTGTAACATAACAATATCACACTCCAGTGCACCATATGACAACTTAAGTGAAATGTTCAAATTAAAACTATAAATGATTACACCCGTGTTATCACCCTGGCAACCACACTCCCTTGGGTGTCCCGTCTGGCGGACCCTGCAGTTCTGCACAGCACGTTCGTCGGAGGGAGGTAACTGCCGCACAGCCACAGGTGCGTGGAGACCACTTCCCCACTGGGTTTGCCCATCTTCAAAGCCCACTCCTCTTGCGTAAGAAACGTCTCTCAGAGTAATTGGAAAGTAGCTTTGTTAAAGTCAAAGTGAAGTGTTAGAATTTTGTGCAGATTTTAAGTTAATATCTAAAGAGCCTTAATGTGGTCAAAAGTAATACTTTCTCATTAAAAGTTTAGAAAGCACCTCTTCATATATTTTTAAAAATACTATTCAAAGAGATGCTACAGATGGCAACTTTTATAATCTAAAACGTTTATGAAAGTACAAAAATAAATTAGGAAAATTAAACTCATGTGTGTGTTATATATATTTAAATACACTTAATTTTACATTTGTATAAAATACAAGAGAAAACCACTGGAACGATGGTGTGACTGAAACCCTGTCTGGCGCAGCATCAAAACAACTCCTGTGTTCTGGTTTTGGTTTTAGTTTTTCCACTTAGCAAAGTATATTATAGGAAGGAAGGAGTAATTTTGTATATTTAGAACTGGGCTGTTCCTAAACCACTTAGCGAAAAGTCTATTAATGTTTTGTTTCAGCTGAAAACCAGACACCACATCAGGCTTCATAATCCTAAGTCACTGAGCTGTCTTTTCTCTCTATAATCACACGTAAAATTTGTACCCAAGCATCGTTCTTTTTTTTTTTTTTTTTAAAGATTTTATTTATTTATCTTTAGAGGGGAAGGGAAGGAGAGAGGGAGAGAAACATCAATGTATGGTTGCCTTTCATGCGTCCCCTGCTGGGAACTGGCCTGCAGGGAACCTGTCTGCAACCCAGGCATGTGCCCTGACTGGGAATCGAACCGCGATTGTCTGGTTCGCAGGCCCGTGCTCAATCCACTGAGCTACACCAGCCAGGGCCATCGTTCTTTTTTAAAAGGTTTATTTTATTCTCATTTGAGAGGGAAGGCTAGGGAGAGAGAGGGAGGCACATCGATGTGAGGAACACCAGTCGGCACGAGCCGCAGCCCAAGACTGAGTCTGCGGCCTGGGACGTGCCCGGCACGATCCCGTTTGGGTTAAGGGATGACGCTCACGTACAACATCTTGATGTGGTATTTATCTGCATTGCGGTGATCACCACAGTAACATAACCACTTCCAATACAGATAAATACCATATCAAGATGTTGTATACCTAAAACTATGTATTATATGTCAATTATACCTTCATTTTTTTTAAAGGTACCGACTTCCAGTTATATAGAAAGGTAAGTTCTGGGGGACCTAATGTACCGCATGGTGACTACAGTTAACACAACTGTGTTATATATTTGAAAGCTGCCGAGAGTAAATCTTAAACATTCTTATCACAAGAAAAAAATCGTAACTATGAGGAGAGGGGTGTTAACTAAGCTTATTGTGGTAATCACTGCAATATATACATATATCAAATCATTATGTTGTATACCTCACCTTCCATGTATAAAACTAAAGATTTCAGGCCCCTTCATGATAAAAACATTTTATCAAATACTGCAAAAGTGATCACAGCCTTTTCTGGCATTGACAGATTAACTTAATTAATTTCCTACAAGGTTTGCCAGTCTCAGCAACCAAGGGGAATTTGTCACATGGTAACACAACCGAAACATGAAGACCATGGAAACTCACAGTTCAAGACATATGGCCATGCTTCAACATGAACAAACAAACAAGCAAACGAACCCCACCGACCCCCAAAAGCTCACCTTGGAACTTGACCTCAGTCTGCATCTCACTTCTGCACATTTAAGTGCAGTGCTCTGAGCACCCTTTTCTGCAGAAGAATTTCAAGCAGTTGAGCTCTGATATAATTGGTGATTTATTCTGTCCAGTTCAGCACATCTCAATCAAACTAACGGGCTGACTACAGTCTGCCTAGCTAATTATGGTAGCTCCCTGTACCACACTTTCTGGTATTATATTTTTCAGAGCATGCCCTTAGTGCTATTGTAACACATACTTCTCTCACTTAACTGTATGAACTTGGGCATCATTGCTGACTTTTCTTGAAACCTTCTATGCCAGTGTAATTACTGGACAGACTGGCATTAAAGTGATTCTCTTCACTTTGTCATACTTTTCAACTGGCACATACAGTTAAAAAAAACAAAACCACCACAAACCCATCGGCATTTGTAAGCTAGTACTTCTTTAGCATTAGTCCCAAGATTCTTCGAGAACACAAACTATGTTGTTAGCGCTGTACAGTCTGGGGACATGTGCTTGGGAGACTAGAATGGGGAGTATAGTACTATATGTAATACGTATGTAGTAATATGTGTAATATGTAATAGAAGGGACTAGACTTAATTCTCTGATGTTCTGGAGAACATAAATAGGGTAAAAGGAAATTATGAAGGAACAAGTTTTTAATAATTTAGTCTGAACTGCTTCAAAGTAGTTATTTCCCCCCAGGTAAGGAGCCCATCCTCAAAGGCATTCCTGCGAGGCCTCACCTCGCACTTTGAGTCCAGTGGCGGCAAGAGAAATGCCAGTGCTGGTGAGGCAGAGAGAGTGCTGGGGACTGTGGGGACCGCCTGCCCCACCCAAAGGGGGCGACACTGCTGAGTCTCCCCTGATGGTAGTAGCCACGAGGGAGGAATAATGTGAAGTTTCGGAATCTCCTCATTTTCAAGTAAAGACACAGCCTGGGTTTTTGTGAGATCTTCTCCAGTAACTTCAGTTATACGGTGATGATATACCTACAGATACACAGGTGTGACCGTTGAGATGAGAGCCGGTTCCCGAAGCTTTAGTCGAGTGTTTTCTTATTATACCTGGGCTGTTCTGTCCACTTCTAGGCCTGTGAAATGTGAAGGGCTCGTCTCAGTCTTTTTTTCTACTTTTTAAAATAATTTAAATTAATATTTTACCTATGCATTTCTAAACAGAGGGGAAGGGAGGGAGGAGAGGGAGAGGAACATTAAAGTGGTTGCCTCTCATGTGCCCCCCACTGGGGACCTGGCCTGCAACCCCAGCATGTGTCCCAACTGGGAACTGCACTAGCGACCCTTTGGTTTGCAGGCCAGCACTCACTCCACTGAGCCACACCAGCCAGGGCTTTTTTTCTAATTGTTCTTAAATTCCTTTACAGCCTCACTTCTTGCCTCCCTTTCTTTCCTCTCCATCCAATCTCTTCTATTTAAGGAAACACGGAGTTGGGGGGGCCAACCTCTTTAAAACCCGAGCTCCGTCCACACGCCCAGCGTTATTAGGTGCTTTCCCTATATTATCTCATTTCGTGTCCCAACAACCCTACTGTTACCTTATTACGGCAGGGCCAACTGAGACTCAGAAGCGTCAGGAACTTGTTGTCCGCGTGTCACACAAAGCAGGCTTGAGTCCAGAACTTCATGCATCTTGAAACCTGAATTCCTTCCCCTGTATCACGCTGGTTCCCTTTCCCTAAGGGCTGGAATGATGGTCACACAATAGAAAGTCTGAAGCAAAGCCTTTCTTTTTATTGCAATTATTAGGGAGAATTACACATCAAACTGAAGCTAAGCAACATTAAAACCATTAACTGTTTTTAAAAATCAAGGATCAAAAACAAATACAACATAGAACCTTTCCAATATGCAGAATGGCAATAAAATAAAAATAAAAAACAGGAGAGGTTCTGTCACAGGACATTATGGTGACAGTTTGGCTCAGAAAGAATTACGAGAATTTCTTTAATAAAATACTGTGACTGAAATGCGTAAAAAGTGGCTTCTTCAAGCTTCTCAATCTCAACCTTCCATTTTTTGTAGTAATTTTTGGGACAATAAACTAACTGAAAGTAGAAAATTTACTACCAAACTTTAAATACCGAAAAAACCCCACCAACTTTTGTTGAAAAACTTTATTTCCCTTCTGCTCATCGTAATTACATATAGTTTCCAAGGAATTAAAATGGGATTCAAACCCAACGCCCCCAAGTGCACAGTGACAGGACCGAGCATTTGGTATTTCTAATTATACAGCGATCACAAAGATGACACAGACTTCCCCCACTCCCACTGTATTTCCTCTTAATTAAACGTGCCGGTCAAGTTCAGTGTAATTCAACATCTTATCTGGTCCTATACCAACTCGGACTCACCCCATTGTTTTAACTGATGCTACTGCGTAACTAAATGTTGACAAAGGAAGGCATATAAGCATTCGAAATTCTACACTCCTTGAATTACTACAAGAAACTGTTCTTGTGGGAAGCCAACCCAAAACCTAAGGCCAGGTGTGAGACAGGAGAGGGAAGATGAGGAAGGAGGTCGGAGACTCCCATCATTTTACCATGCTGAAACCTGGTAACAGGAGAAATATTTGGCAAGAACAGTTAGTGTGGAAAAGGCAGATGGAAAAACAAGTTACTCTGAGTTTATGTGACAATTCGGCTTCAAAACATACTGATATCGATCCCCCCCAAATAGTTCACTTCTGCAATACAAATAGGCACACACGGTCAAGATGGTTAAAAAGTAAAATTTAAAAGGCTCTTTGTCCACCTGTAGGGTGTGTGCAGGTGGCCCGCCCTCCCTGCAGGCCCTGTATTTACGTTACTTTTCAGAAGAGCCCCTTTAAAAAGAGGGCTCTGTCTTCCTCTGCCACTGGGGTTTTAAAAAAGCAGCACTTATCAAAAGTGGGAGCCGTTAGCAAGGCGTTCGGGGTGCACATCTGTGTGTCGTATCGATGCTCTCTAGACTGAGGGGTCGGACTACACTGGAATGGTTGGTTCCCTTACAATTTTAGTCCCCGAAACACTACAGAAACATGTTATTTTTCTCTATATAAACTTATACAGTACACAGAGTGTTATAAACATCAAATATGTACACACACACACACACACACCCCACTGCTTCCCACAGCCTGTGGATGCATCCATGAACTAGTCCACAAGAATGATACAGTAATAATACTTTTGTGGGTCTATAACTGAAGAGAAACATTAAAGCTACCGCTTACAGCAAAAACTGTTTAAAAGTAGTCCTGATGTAACAATGTTCTCAGCTGTCTCACTCAGCAAGGTGGACTTTATTTTCCAAACAGGAAACTTCTCAACTTCTCACTCCCAGTACTTGCACTTCTCATTACCCTACAGAATTACGACAGACAGCATCTACTTCAGTGATGAGCTGGAAGAGCCCCGCTGCCCTCGACAAGGGGAGGCCAGCGTCTATGAGACACGAAATAAATGTTGAATGCATCCATACCCTGTGTACCTAAAATGCATTCTTTTTTTCTGAAAAACAATCCAAAACTTGTTTGTTGCAACAAGGAATTGCTTACATGACCTTTGGTGATGTGTCCATTGTTATTTCCTAGAAAAACGAGCCCTTCCCCTGGGGGAAGTGGGTAGGTCCCCAAAATGTAAGGTTCTGCCAACCATCCAAAAAGATAACTGGGTCAGACCCTAACAGGCTGCCCGACACCACCTGCAGGTGTTGAAAACTGAATGAAAATGAAGAAAAAAAACCCCTTTCACTCTATTTTAACTTTTACAGCTACATGGTGACTAGAAAGCAAGGTTGAACGCTGCAAATTGATGAGTGAAATAAGCACACTTTCCTTCTTAAAACCTAATGCCCTACTCCAAAACAAGGTACCAAAAATCTGCCAAGAAACAAAGGGATAACTATGAGGTTGTACAACAGCCTCTGGCGCCAGTGTGCAGCAAAAATGCCCAGAGGGAAAAGGCAAAGTTAGTATGTGATTATCTAATGGTTTCACCGCATAAATCCACCTCAAAATACAATGGCAGCTGCCACAGCACCGCTCAATGGAGCTTGGCTTTTGAAGTTATACCTTTGCCAAGGGTTATTACAAAGAAAATCCAGCCAGTGTGCTGAATTATCTGGCAGGGGAGAAAACAGAACAGGGTATGTTTGTCAGTGAACGGCATATCACAGGAAGGCCTAAGTTTCTCTTATACCTGTTTAATGAAATGATCTATGGTAATTAAAGTTACTTTCATAGAGGCCAACTGTGAACAAACCCTTCATGCAACAAGATTATACAGTATTAGCTTGAAACTTCTGAACAGCTTTTGCTTTGGAGAAGTCAAGCATTGACGCAAACACCCTGTCCTTACAGCAGCTTTGCGAGGTAGGTGAGGGACGGTATTGTCACTACCATGTTACAAGGAGAATCTAGGCACAGAGAGATTAGGAAGTTGCCTAACGACACAGCGAATTAGTGGCAGAGCTCTGACTAAACTCCAAGTCTCTGCCTCAAGTTGTAGAGCCCTTTCTCAGTCTTCAAAGGCAACAAGTTCTTAACAGTCTTCATCCAGTTGTGATCTTTTAAAAGGTCCTGCAATTTGAAAATACCTTGAAATGCTTTGTTCTTTACAGCTCAGGGTTACCTAGGAAATGAGCTTAAAAATTTTTTTATTATGGAATTTTGCACACACCAAGAGGGATATGTGAGGGATTATCTGTTTGGCTGAAGTCGGAATAAATCAATATGTAAATTAAGAGGAAAGAATAGAATATGAGGATCTCTGTTGCAGAAGGTTGAAACAGTACTCCCGAGAACAACTCTCTTTTATCACTTTGCTACAACATCCTATTTCAGATTATGTTTTCTGTCAACACCATCACTCTAAAGCTAGCCAAAAATTCTACGGCCGGACATCATACCTGCAGTATTAACGCCTCAGTCTTCACCCCTTCACCAAGTTAGGGTTTCCTTCCATCTGCATTAACTGAAGTTACATTCTAAGGATTCTTATTACACCCTTTTTCTTTTATCCTTCCCCCTTTATTTTTAACTGTGTGTGTGCGCGTGTGGGGGGGGGGGGGGTTGGGACTTGCAGGATTCATAAATGGCATAAAGAGATTACTTTACAAAACAGGATGGCCTGCAAGTGAGTAAGAGAAAGGTGAGTGAAAGGAAAAACTTCAGACCCGCACATAAAAAAGTGCTCAGTCTCCCAATCGAGCTGTAACTTGTGGCCTTTGAGCCTCTTTCCCCAAGTATTAAGACTTTATTTACTCCTAGTAGAATTCTATATAAACTGCTTCTAAATCCCTTTTTTCTTTTTTTTGCAGGAGAAAGGGGTTATAGCCTGGGCTAAGTAAGAAATGAGAAATGTCTTGCAAAACTTTTAAAGAATCTTACAGGGACAAACTATGAGAGATTTCAGTTAGTGCTTGCTAAACCTGGCTTTGAATGAGGAAAAGAGCTCATGCACATTTGCAGGGCCATCATTAATACTCTGAGATCAATCACTTTCTGTGAAACTGGGAGAGTTTGCAACTAACAACCACTGGAGAGCCAAGTCTGTTGCTACCACAAACCAAAGCTTCTTGCTAAGCTCCCTGGGACCAGACTGAATTCATTAACCTGTTTGAACTGCACACAAGAGGCAAAATCCCTCCTTCATTACGGCCTATCAGGGTTTTCCCTAAACCTTTCACCAAAAACATTTTTGTTACAGGAAATACTGCCTGGCCTGGAAGTGCTCTGCTCCGTGGATTCTATGTAAAGGGACAAGATGGAGATGCCATGTTGATAGCAACGTCTATTTAAGGATAAATACTTCATTTCTTTGTTGTAACTCAGAAGTGACTTCTAAGACTTGTCCGATTTAATGAGAATAGATGCAGCTTTAGTTGTGGGACAACAGACACAGAGGCACTCTTCTTAGGTCTCTTCTCAAATAGCCTTTACAATGTGCCTGTGAGAACTGGACAAATATGAAGTAATTGTAATGTTTCTATTCAAAGATCCTAGTAGAGAAACCTTTTCCCCATTTCCCTCCTCACTACATATGCTCACAATCCAACTAGTTTATTTCTTTTCTTTTCTAACATTTTACTTATTTATTTTTAGAGAAAAGAGAAGGGAGGAAGAAAGAGAGGAAGAGAAACATCAATGTGTGGTTATGTCTCATGCAGCCCCCACCAGGGGGCCTGGCCCACAACCCAGGCATGTGCCCTGACTAGGAATCAAACTGGCGACCCTTTGGTTCTCAGGCCTGTTCTCAATCCACCGAACTACATCAGCCAGGGCCCACTATTTTCTTTCTTTACGAAGACCTCCTGTTTTCATAGGTTCCTATAATAAAGATAGTCACAACTGCCACATCTTTCTAGAAAGTCTTTCATTTGTGCTGAAAATAATATTAAAGGGCCAAATTACGGGGTTTGTTTGTCCTTCCAACTAAAGCTACAAAGTGAATAAAGATGGAAAAATTTAGGCATTAAATACCAGAGTAATCTTCCTCTGTGGAACAGCCTCTTAAATTTAAAACAAAAATGGACTGTATGCACATCTATAATAAAACAAAAATTTCATTTGTATGGAAAAAAAAAAGTGAGAAAAAGCGAAGTTCCAATGACCGACCCTCCCGTCTGTTTTCTACTCACAGAGGACCGTTCCGACAGTTCTCTTTGGGGGTGGACTGTCAGTGATGCACAAACGCTTCCTTCTGAGGAGGCGGACGACAAGTGTGAGCAAGTCACCCCACAGTTCACCACAGGAGCTCAGTCCTGAGGCCACGTACCTTATTTACGGAGCCAAACAGTTAAAAGAGCAAAATAAGCTCTAGGTGTCAGGTTGCTATGAGCTTTCAGAAGAAAAAATAAATAGAGGACTATTTGTTGTACTCGAGGCTGCTTTAAAAATGTTGGTCTACAATTATATGCCTGTTATCCTAGGACGATGCTGAAACATAATGAATAAAAACTACTGAAGTTACAAACACGGTCACTATCCTTAAGAGGGGGGCATATATGTGTAACAAAGACATATCTGACTGCTTGAAACATATTTAGCTTTTATTTAGTAGCAACAAATTGCTATAATCAGAGCACCAATCTTCCACTGTGCTGGATGGACCAGTGAAGGAAGTAGCTCTGATTACTGTATAAAACTACCGTAACTGGCAACAATGCAAAAAGAAACAATATGGCTAATGCGTATATGAAATCTCATGCTGACTCACTTGAAGTTGCAAAATTTTACATAATATAAAAATAACATTTTCCCAATTACTTAAAACTTTCTCATTTACCCCCTTCTCAGTGGAAGAATAGAGAATAATACAGTAAAATGCCATACACTGAGCCCTGATCATTTAGAATTTAAAACTCTGAGGATGGGGTAATATTTATCTTCTGATCTCTTAAAGAAAAAAAAAAAGGCTTACCAAGCAAATTCAGTGTAAAAATACAGTGGAAATATTTTACCTGCTTAACTCACTTGTTTTTTTCATGTACCTTTATAAAAAGTTAGTTGCCAATATAAATAAGCTTGATCTGTTCACTACGAAAGTGGAGTGACCATATATGCTTGAAATTAATAGTCTGTGATAATGTTTTTCACTTTCCATTAATTCACATTCATCAATTATGATTACTTTAACTTTTAGTTTTTTTAATTAAAGATTTTTATTTATTTATTTTTAGAGAGGGGAAGGGATCCGGGAGGCAGAGAGGGCGAGAAACACTAATGTGCTCGAGAAACACGGACTGGTTGCCTCTTACACACCCCAACAGGCCAGCAACCCAGGCATGTGTCCTGACTGGTAATTGAACTGGTGACCTTTTGATTCACAGGCCAGTGCTCCATCCACTGAGCCACACCAGCCAGGGCACTTTGTTAAATTTTTAATTAACTGAAACAATATATTAATTGGTCTTTATCCTTAGCTCCCCATGTCACTTAAAACTCTGTTTCTTCACTGATGCTCAGGGTTGAATCAACTTTAAAGCATGTTAGGGAAAAGGGCAGGGTAACAAGTCTTCCATATATAATTATGGGGGGGAAAATCCCATTTCAAAGTCAATTATCAGTGACTTCTGGATTGTTTGCTATTTGTTTTCCAGGCCTATGAAAATGGTATCATAATCCTAATGCTGGAAGATATAACCATTTAAGCGGTTTCAAAGCAGCTGAAGTTAAAAAGAAATGTAACACTTATTTATTTGACAAGTTGCCCCCAAACTGCAGATCAGGTCAAGTAAATCCAATGTTAGTGTCAGTTTGCTACTTAAGGGAAAGAAATCTAAATTATAGAAAAGACCCACCTCCTCTCCACATTTAGAAATCTGTCTAAAGACTGTTTTTAATGCCCACTATATAAACAACATTAAATATTCTAAGTGTTAAAATAGTGTTAATGGTTTATTGGTAAAAATCCAAATTCTAAACTTTGTAGAATTAGTAGTTTTGGATGGTGTATTAACATTCCACCTTATTCTTTGCTAATATTACAAAGAAAGAGGAAAAGCTAGAAATATCTATAAAAATAAAATACCTTAAAACCAACATCTAAGCAAAATATAAAAGTTGCACACAAATTGCCAATAAATATAAACATCACAATAGAAAAACTAATATTAAAAAAATGAAAAAGTTTAATGTGCATTGACATTTGCGAACATAGTACACTCCAAACAGACAATATAATTTTACTATCATTATTACATAATGCAGCATAGAAGGTTACTGAGGTGTGGTGTTTTTTTGTTTTTAGTCTACTCTTTTTTCGAAGAATGCTTGCCAAATTCACAAGCAAGAACTGGTTAGGTGATCATTTACTGCTATTTACTGTCTCCTAGCTCAGGGGGAAACTGCTTTCTGTAGAAAAGGAAATTTCTAATAAGTATGAATGGTCCTGCTATTACCCCTCCTTTTGCTTACTTCCTCCAAAGCCCGTTTTGCATGTTCTGTATCTAATGAGCTGATCACAGCCTTTCAGAGGTGCTGTCATCATTTTGCATAGTTCCCCCATGCAAGGAAAAAAGAGAGTAACTGAAAATATTTTGGGTTCCTAAACAAGAAAAATTCCCTAAATACAGAGACATTATCATTCTCTTAAACTGATCTCCACAATGACTCGGCTCCTCCTTTGCAAGCAGCCTTTTAAAAAAATTATTTAGAAAAGGTGGCCAATAGGTATTTATAAAAGGGCCAGTCTGCACTGGGGGACAAAACGGACAGGGAGCCTACGACATGTAACTCCTTTTCCCCTGGGCACCTACTGCTTCACCCACACTCTTGTTAAAAAGTTAAAGCAAATTTGCTGTTTTATGTATCTTCGAGATTAATTTCAACACAGCTGGGAACTGAAAGCATTAAAAGTTTTGTTTCCAAACTTACAAAATACATTTGGTGAGCATCAGCCTGGATATGTTGCTGAATAAAAGCTTTATTTCACTCCCTTGGACCAGATTTAGGAAAACAACATTATTTATATGAAACTGTCATACTCTTGGAGTTCTAGAATAATTTATTTTTTAAAGTTTTAGCTTCATGCTATTTGAAAAATAAAAATCTTTAGCACCATCTTCTGAAAAGGCACTTTCTAAGAACCTCCTTGTGTCACAAAAAAGATTTAGAAACTTAACTCAGAGACCAACCCATGGAATATCCTTTCTTTACTGAGACCCTAGATACACTAGATGTTGGTTACCTCGGACATTGATTTCAAAAAGAAATGAGACCAATGGCTGGATATATGACTGGACAGAATCTTCATGTTGTAACACTATTCGTTACCTGATACTTCAACTGATTTCTCATTGATAAATCTCAATCCTCCATGTTAAATTTATTATCTATCTTTAATTTGAATGAGAATCTTTAGCTTCCACACTTTAAAAGCAAAAGATTCTTGAGGCTCAATCAACAATGTAAAAACCTAGAGCACTATCTTTGATGGATAAAGAAAAAATAAAATTCAACTAGTAGTAGATAATATTAGTACAAGCCTTGACATGGTATTTTAGTTAAATTATTTTGACTGACATGGGAAATTATAAACTGAAATGTACCATTTTTAAAAGTAGAAAGAAGTCTAAATATTTTCATATATATATATATATATATATATATATATAAAGAGAGAAAGAGAGAGACAGAGAGAGAAGGAGGAGGAAGGAGGAGGAGAGGGAAGGGAACGGAAAAGGGAAGGGAAGGAGGAGTAAAAGGGAGAGATTTTACTCCTCCTGGGAATCAGCTTAAATTTCACTAAAAACAGTGTCATTTCTAACACTGCCATTGATCAAGAATGTTCCTAGTATAAGCAGGAATTAAAAAAAAAAAACACAAGAATTTTTGGAGAAAATTCTCACTTTCATATTTCTGTAGTACTGATTTTACCACGTTTTCTTTGCTTATTTTTTGACTCCTGCAGAACCACGAAAGTGCTTTCTATCATCAAATGGGAGAGAAATGAAAATAAAGACGGACTCCAGAGTCAGAGTCACACTACCCTCCTTTGCATAAAGTGTCCCAACTATTATGACTGCAGCTATAACATACCCATGAATTCTCAAAAGGAATGAAAAGGATTACAACTATATAGGGATAAAAAAGCCAAAATAAAGATGCCAGGCCAATGAAGCTTGACTAATAACTCATAAAAGATAATTTTTTTAAAAAGGAGAAAGCTTTTTATAAAACAAGAAACAGACTGAAGGAGGAATGAAGAAAAATAAAGAAAGATATAAAAGTTAATTTAAATAGCAGGTTACTGTTGGGGGCAAACCATCTTTAAAAGTATTCAACAGGAGAACATAAAATGATGAGTTAAGCAAATATTAAATCAGGTTTTATGATACTGAATAAAAGTTATGCAGAGCTGTCAGTTAAGCCTGTTGGCAAAATATTAGCATCAAATTTGAAGTAGCAAGATTACAACATACTCTAGCTAAAACCAAGTGGCTGCTTTGTCCATTTCATAAAATCACCACTCCTGGTAAATTCAGGTTAGCCTCCGAAAACACCCACCAAATTCCTTGAACAAGGGTCTCTATTTCCTGGCCTATAATCCATTTAATTACTTCAGATGTATTAGTGGCACTCTGAGTGTTCACCTTTTTCTTAAACACCAAGAACCTCTGCCAGCCACTTCTACTGAATGGCAAGTCAGCTTGTACTTCCCCAGATGCACTGGAAGTCTTTCACGACCAAGTCTGTCACGAGCTCTATCATACTAAAATCCGTTTTAGTACAAATATATAAGTAAACATAGGCAGTAGTGGGCCATCAGAGAACCTCGTTGGGAACACTAGTATAGAACTTCAGAAGGCTGGGAGTCCCTGTGCTAGAAGGTGGAGATGAATCTCCACCATGTGCTTCCAAAACACCCAGCACTTTCCTACTAGAATTCCTTCCAGACTCTCTTTTAGGAGGAGAAATAAATTAACAGGTTACAAACAGGAAGATTTCCATAGAAGAATATTTTTTTCTGAGAAACTTGTTAAAGGTAAAATATATATATATTTTAGTTTTATTTATTGATCTTTAGAGAGAGAGAGAGAGAGAGAGAGAGGGAGGAAGGGAGGGAAACACTGACTGGCCGTCCCACGCATCCGCGCACTCACTGGTGGGTTTCCTGAGCACGCCCCACTGAGGATCAAACCTGCAACCCTGGTACATCAGGACAACACTCCAACCAACTGAGCTACTGGCCAGGGCAAAAGATAAAATATTAAGAAATAAAGGACATCTTTACTTCCATGAAAATATGCCAAAACCAGTACTGAGGAGGCTGAGGTACCTTTTTTCCAAAACTGCTAAAAGTAAAACTCCATATTTCTAAAACAAATAAACACTATCCTGGTATTACATTGAAACTAAAATCACAGCACCCTTGTTACCTTGGTATTTCATGTTCTTAATTATTATTTAGGGAAAAAAGAGGGGGTTCTAACACTAGCCTTGAATCCTGCTCATCTTATTGTCTGGTGCAGTAACGGTCAGACTCTACTTAAATAAATATAGCAGCTACAGTATTATAAATGTATGGTCCTTAATGCCAGTAACTTGAGACTATAATATAATAACATGTATCAGCACTTTACACAGACTCATTTGCTAGCCAGGATATACATTAAACTCCCCAACTCTTCTTTGCATGAACACCAATTATACCAGTTGCTGGAACTGACATTTTAGAGTCACTCTGATACTGTACATCACAGACAACAGCAGACCAAAACTTAGCCTTCACTGTATAGTTAGTGAGCGAGGGCAGCACAGAAAGGTTGCTGTTGAGTTTCATGGCCATTACATTCAGGACGATCTTTTTAGAAAATAATAATGATCAGGATTCTACACCAGATGTGCAATAATTAAAACAAAATTCAAAAAGTACTTGCCTCTTACTCTTTTACCTTAAAATTCTAAGTACAATGTTTCTTCTAAATAAGTGTGACACACTAATTCATTTGTAAGCAAAATAGAAATATACTCTACATACTCTTTCAAGTTAACCAACCTTAAACTAATTACGTTGAAACTGTAAGTAAGAAACCCTAAAAAAGAACTCACTTCAAAGGTAAAGCTTTATATTTAAAAAAATATTTTTTTCCTTTGTAAAAGTACATTTAAATTATGGGCTGCACTCTAGTGCATGTGACACTAAATAACTGAAAAAAAAAATCAGGTAAAGCAGCCAACAGGGAAAGGGTACCTACGGTCCCTCAGCACTAGAGTTTCCCACGTGCACCCGCGTAACTCGCTCTGATAAAGGCAGACGTCTCACTCACACTGAGCAAGCACACAGCAAACAAGTTTTTACCATCTAGAACACACAATTATCTTCCCTTGCCCACGTTGCTGACTACTATATTCAGTGAATTTTCAATGTAAAAAAACATACATGCTTTATAGGATTTTTCAGAGGAAAAGGGGGCAGGGTTGGGAGAAAAAATGTATATACTGTACTATACAAATATCACCTCATGTAAAGAGCTTTGAAACAGTGTTGTAAATTGCATTTCGGACACTTCAGTATAATAAACATACAAAATACAGTACTTTCTTAGTTTTCTGAGAGAGGGACAAAAGATTTCGTAATCTTTTGGATTTCATAAACTGTTGGAGGACATGGGCTCAGATTTTAGGCTCAAAAGACAGTGACTGGCAGTAAGAGTGGGTTACAGGTGAGAGCGAAGCTGCAGAGCTAACACATCCGTTTTCGTGAACAGATGACACTCGGAAAGGTTAAGGACAATGCCCCCGGAAACAACCTGTAGTAGTCATACTCTGAAGCAGTGCAAAAGAATAGTAAGATGCAATTTTCGTGAGTTACAAAGTACAAAGTTCCCCTGAATCCAATGTTACTGGTGAACTTGGTTTTGACAGCTTTATAGTAGTTTTTAGCATCTTAAAGTGAAATCCATCAAACAAAATTTTGCAAAACTTTCCCCCACATTTCAGTGATCAAAGTTCTAATTTCCTTTTGTCACCATAACCCTAATTTTAAAAGGAAAGTTATACCGGTGGTAAATTGGCAGAAATATTTTTTAAAATATCACATTTTCCTGATTCATTTTAATAAATGAAATTGGGCATCTAATCAGTATGATTCTTCCATAAACATGATTTATTTTCAAAGAATTTAAATATCTTCTAAATTTTAACCTATTCATGATCATTGAAGTCAAAATTCAACTTTAGTTTTAATATTCAAGCTCAGACTTGCTTTAGATTTGAAAATAAAAAAACCTTTCCTTCTGAAACGCAGGCTGCCTCACTCTGCTCTTTTCACACCGCGGAGGCACCTGCTCTAACACTGTCTGGGGCAGAGGCGTCAGCCTCTGAGGCGCAGCTTTCCTCCCAAACGGCTTATTGCACGAGAAGAGAGCGAAAACAGGTCATCAGTTCTTAAAATAAACAGGATTATATTTCTATAAAAGATGCTGCCAATACAGTTCTATAATCATGAAAGCACTACTCTAATAAATATAAAAGAAAAAGAAGCTATACTTCAAAATACATACATATATATTTATATATACACACGCATATATATAAAAATATATATATATGAAAATCACATTAAGGTATGAGAGGCAGCAAGTAAACTAGCAAAAAAAAAGTTAACTCGAACAACTCCTACTTTCTCTCCCTCCAATTTCAGAGGTCTCAACCCTGCAGAGTTCTAATCATTACAAATATTTACCCTTAAAAAAAAATCCTTTAAGGGATTTCCATGTATAACCCATAGAAACAGAAGGCTTTAGAGTACATATCACTTACAGAGAGAAAGAGTTATACGTTCTGACAAGGTTTTCTATTTGTAGCAGCTTTTAACAAACTCACTAAAGAAAAAATAGGTTACTACTGCTTATGCACACCTTGCACGAGTGGCGAATGTAAATTCAGAGCAGGAAGTGGCAGATGCAGACTCTCTCTCTCACACACACACACACACACACAACTGCTTCTTAAGAAAGCAATATCAAGAGTGGAGGACTTCATATTGTGTATGAGACAAGAGAGAGGAGTGGGTGTGCAAAATAAAAGTCTACTTTGCCATGCTCCGTATTCAATGAATCAGATACACGGACATCTGAATGTCACTGGTAGCGTTAAGGAAAAACAACGCAGGTGATGAGGCAGGGGAGGTAGAGTGAGAAACGAAAGTGGTGGTGAGAGGACAATAAAAGGGAAAGGAATTTCCCAGTGGAATGAACTATAAAATATACACAAAGAACATTTATATCTGTTATCCATGTAGATCCAGATATATATGTATATGAAGTATACATGTATACACTTAAAGTATACACAGATACTTTTTACAAGAATACACGAATGCACATTAATTTTTTTGCACACAGAATTATGAACAATCACTGATTATTCATGTAGGTGTGTTTTTTAAAAATCATCATTTACCTTTTCTTTACTTTTTTTGCAAAGGTAGTTGTGCTGCCAAGCAACTTGAGGTAAAGGCATTAAAAGGGCCAGACTACAGAAAGTGAGAACAAAACAACGGCGATACTGCCCACAGGAGCCCGCACAGAGAAGCAGCTGGCTGGTTTCATGTTGCATAATGGTGCTGTGTCCCTTGATGAAGTAAACAATCTTCCTTGTATCAGCATAAAAATCAGACCCTGGTCCCCACAGTGTTGGTTTCTGTATGGCTGGAGGCATCTCCACTCAACAGACTCCATGGAAACATACATTGTATGTCAATTCATCTTTCAGTTCTTCCTCTCAGAGAATACTCTCGGATTTTTTAAGCAAAGTACATTGTGCGTAAGGTATCTTGGTGAATCTGTACGGCCTTGGCGAGAGCTTGTGGATCGCGTCCATTGCTCTGTCCTGAAACGTGACTTCCTTCAGCACTGTAAGAGAATTGGCAATGAACACACAAACAAACTCTATCTGATGTCATAAAAAAAAAGAAAAACATTATTTATTGTAGAAAATTCCCAATTTTTAAAAAAAACCAGAGGCAGGTATAATTCTCTCCTACATGTCTATCACCCAGCTTCAGTAATTAACTCAGGCCAATTTTACTTCTCTCGCCTGCCCAGGATTATTTAGAAGCAAATCCAAGATATCCTATAATTTTGTTGGTATATACCCCTTTAATGATCAATAATCTCTCCCTTGAGTTAATTGGTAGAGCAAGTGAACTATGTCATTCTACCACTAACGAGCCTAGACTGCACATTTTAATGGGAAGCCTTATTTTGAGCAGTTCTGACTATCACTGCTCTTCATACGGATCACTGACTCTTCTAATAGCTCACGCAACTTCAATCATAAATGGCACCTCTAAGCTTATGATAAACAGAGAAGCACATACTTACATGGAGACAAAGAAATTTCCCAAGAAAATCCTAAGATGCAGGCCATATGTGAGTTTGGGTAAAAATCTGTTTTGTTATGCTTCTATATTACCTGTCATGTTCCTTGTCTACGAGATGATATCTGGCTCTGAATGCTACCAGGTGAGCATAATACGCTGGTGCAGGTATAGAAACAGAACGTGTACAGCGCACATAAGTGTGGCAGAGCTGGTACGTTAGCAGCTGAAGTTCATCTGCAGTAAAGCAGTTATCATCCCATAAAACATGATAGTGTGAAGGACGGCTGGTACCCTACAGAGAAGGCAATGACATACTCTGTTGATTTCTAAACTTCTAAATAAATATTCAGCTCAGACTAAGTTATATAAAAAACCAGCTTTGCACATTAGCAAAACATATTCTAATTTAATAATCAATTAAAAAAACATGTAGTTGATTCTGGGTATACATCCAAAAAAAGTAAAAGCAGGGACCTGAACAGATATCTGCACAGCTATGTTCAAAGCAGCATTATTCACAACAGTCAAAAGGTGGAGCAAACCAAGTGTCCATTGATAGGGAAATGAATAAACAACCCATTATATGTACGTGGTATATACATACAAGGGAATATTACTCAGGAAGAAAGGTCTGATACATACTATAACATGGATTAAACTTGATGACATTAGGATAAATGAAATAAATTAGTTACAAAAAGACAATATTATATGATTCACTGATCTAAGGTACCTGGGTACCTGTAGTAGTCAAATTCATAGAGATAGAAGGTAGAACGGTGGGGCTGGGGCGTTAATGTTTAACGGAGACAGAGTGTTGGGAAAGATGAAAAAATTCATAAGATAGATGGGGATATGGCTGCATAACAGTGTGAATGCACTTAATGTACACTTAAAAAACGATTACAACGGTAAGTTGTGTGTTATGTATATTTTACCACAATAAAAACACCAAAACACTTACTTGAGCTCCTGTGTATTAGTTACACTGTTAGGTAACAGGGGCTTCAAGAAAAACAAAGTCAAAGATTTCCTGTTTTGTTTTTATTGATTGACTGACTGATAGAGGGGAGGGGAGGGAGAAAGAGAAGGAGAGAAACATCAATGTGTGGTTGCCTCTCACATGCCCCCAGTTGGGGACCTGGCCCACAACCCAGGCATGTGCCCTGACTGGGAATCAAACTAGTGACCCTTTGGTTTGCAGGCCAGCACTCAACCACTGAACCACACCGGCCAGGGTCTGTTTTTTTTAAAAAGAAAATTTATAGAGGCCTAAGAGACAGAACATCTACAATTATAAAATAACTCATAAGTGGTCATAACACTGCTGGATCTTAACCTGTAAGAGACCACCAAGGGCAGTAATTGTAGGGTGAGCCTTGGCTCTTCATCAAGTGGGGAAGGAGTGAGATTTGGCCTTTTTAGGGACGTTGGGTGAAGAGACACCAGAGAGAAGGAACCACCTTAACCAAAGCACAGGGGGCATAATTTTTCATGGTGTATCTGGGGAATGATGGCTAACAGACCAGTATGAACAAAGTATGGTGCATGATGGGAAAAAGATGAAGTTGAAAAGAAAATTTGGATCAGACTGAACAACATATTTAGGAATTTGGGCTTTCACCTGTAGGTGGCAGAGAAAATACCACACTTTTTTTTTTTTTTTACAGGAGAGCTTTTAGGTAATGATGAGATCGAGGTTTTCTAAAAATAACATCAGCAATAATGGGAAGATGGATTAGAAATAGGAAGGGACTGAAAGCAAAGGAAGCAATTAAGGAGGCTGTTGCACTGATTCTGGTGTGAGATGATGAAGGTGTGAACTAAGGAAATGGCAGTGGCGAAGGAGTCAAGGAGAAAGATTAGCTTGTACTTTAACAATATCTGTTCGTTAGACCCTGTGCAAGATTTTGGGGATAAAATTCAAATTATTATCAAATCCACCTCCTCTAAATTATGTTCTCCCCGAAAGAATGCCTATAGAATATACTGTCCATTCACACACATTCAATATTTACTAAACACTCACTATATGCCGTGTCCTGTATCAAGGTGCCAGCCACACAGTAATGAATAAGACACACATTCCAGAGATGAGACAGGTAACATAGAAATAAAACCATCAGAAACTGGGCTATAAAGAGAATTAAAGTTTTTGGTTAAATACACTAGGGATATATTCCTGTCTTGAAGATGCATTTGCATTATCAGTGGTAATTTAAAAAAAAAATCTTGTTTAACCAGTGTTTTCAAAATTTATTTGAACAGAGAAGCTTTTTTTTTTCTCGTCTGTGGTATTTATTTAAAAGTCATAGCAGTGGTGTTCCTTGGGATACATGGAGGGAAACGCTAGCCTCAAACATGTACTCTGATAACATAGGTATTATTTATCTCTAGAAGGTCCTCTTAACTTCATTTTTAACTACTCCCCATGAAAATGCACAACACTGATTGTAATGAGGAGCAGTTGTAAGAACACAGGTAAGTAAGTGGGACAGTAATTTTAAAAGCTGTTAGAGTAAAGCTGGGGTTAGTGTATGTGAAATGCGTAGATATAAAGCTTTAAGATACACAGCTGTACAGTAAAGTATATCTTCCTGAAATATCTATTTTAATCAATGGTGAGTAGCCTAAAACAGTTTTGGGCTCCATTCTCTCTGCTGCTGGGAAGTTTAAGCAGCACTGAATTAAATAGAAATAAGACCCTTTCAAAGTAAGAAAGGGAAAGAAATTTATTTATTGAAAGTTTCATCTAATTTCACGTAGAAACAATCTGGAATGCAGAGAAGGGTATTTCTACTCCTTTTTCTGACATTAAAAAAAGGTATACATATTAATAGAAGTTCCTGAATTAAAACATTTCACCCAAGTGTTGGCTTACCTGTATTCCCGCATGGCTACAGAGGTAAAAATCAAACTCGTATGGGTGTGTAATGTCTGTATCAACTGTTGTTCCAGCTGGAATATTGCCACTTCTTCCAACCTGGATTTATTTGGTCAAAATTTAAACAAGACAAATGTAAAAAATGTGTCTGAAAGCACTTTTAAAAATGTATAAATATATAGGCTGATCCCACAATTCACTGATTTCAGCTTGAAATATTACTTAAGCAGGCATTAAGAGCAGATCTTATTCTAGTCCTGGTTACTATTCTTAAAGTGTTGCTGAAAGTGAGAGATGATGAACAAAAAGAGTTATTAGTTTCTACCATATACTCAGCTGGTAGCTGATTCCGGTATGGGGGGAAGACTTAAAAAAATTTTTTTCAAGTTACTTTAAGTACTCCAATTCATGGTACTTGTGCATAGCAACTACTCGTGAGTGTGTAATTTATGAAAATTAACATTTTCCTTGCAGAACACTGTATTTTTATAGAAAGAATGCGGACCATAACATCAACAACAGTCATCATTTGTTAGCCACTTTTGTCAGGGACCTTACATACATTATTTCTAATCCTGATAGTTCTGCAAATTAGATTTTATTCACATTTGTTTGGGGAAACTAAGACTAGGGAATATAAAGTAGTTTGCCCACTAGCAGACAATGAAGGGCAGACCTGAGAGTCAAACACAGAAATAACTGCAAAGGCCCGGTTCCTTTTATTTTATACTAGCAGTTTCAACATATTGTAAGGAAACAGACACCATGATTTTCTCTTGAGTAGGTATGTGAATGAAATGGTTCAAAATAATGAACAGGCTCCTGATAAAACACTTTAAAATACATACAAATTTGTCTGGAAAAAGTCCAGCCACTGTTGACGTGATGAGAATGGTTTGAGTGACCTCAATGTAACCTGGTAGCCCAGGAGAGTGGACTGGAATGCGCATGTGTGAACAATGACGACTTCACTGTACTAGTCAGTGGGGGTGGTAGATGCTGTTGAGTGAGCATGTGTACTGTCTGGCCATCACACTGAAAATGACTGAGAGTAGAGCAACAAATCTGCACCAGATTTTGTGTTAAGCTTGAACATTCCTCTGCAGAAACTATGTGGGTGACTCAGAAGGCTGCCGCTATGGGCAACAGGTGATTGCAGCTTCATCACAACAATGGGCCTCATGCATCACGCCTCATGTCTTGCACAGTTTTCTGGCAAAATATCCAATCCCCCAGGTGACTCAGCCCCACCTACAGCCCAGATTTGGCGCCCTGCGACTTCTGACTTTTCCAAAAACTAAAATCACCTTTGACAGAAAAGGGATTTCAGACCGTTAATGAAATTCAGGAAAATATGACAGGGCAGCTGATGGTCACTGGGAGAACTGTGTGAGTTCCCAAGGTGCCTACTTTGAAGGGGACTGAGGTGTCACTGTCCTACGTACAATGTTTCTTGTATCTTCTTTGATAAATGTCTGTATTATTCACAGTGCATGGCTGGATACTTTCTGGATACACCTCAGATACCTCCATCCCCTTCCTAATTATAAAAAGATATACATTAAAAATATAGAAAAAAATTCTGTGAATTTTTAAGAAATCACTGTTTAAAAATTAGTTTGTAAGAATTTCCACTAATCGCTCTAGAAAGCTCCTAGCTTTAAAAAAAATAAATTTTTATAAGATATATATTTTTAATTTTCTTTTAAATTTTATTTATTTATCTTTAGAGGGGAAGGGAAGGAGAGAAGGAGAGAAATATCAATGTATGGTTGCCTCTCATGTGTCCCCTGCTGGAAGCTGGCCTGCAACCCAGGCATGTGCCCTGACTGGGAATCGAACCGCGATCCTCTGGTTCACAGGCCCACATTCAATCCACTGAGCTACACCAGCCAGGGCCTAATTTTTGTAAGATATTTTAAAAAGAGAATGTACCTTTCTTCTTTTAACATTTAAGGACATTATGAATAGAAAGAAAAAAATCTAAAACTGAGTTTCTTCACAACAACAGAATGGATGGAATCTGGAACATTTAGATGTTACCATGAATTCTAGAAAGTTAAAAAATTTTAAATATTAACCTATCTTGATGACTCTATACTCATAATCTGCGTTGTTGAACTCTGCTAGCACACAAGAGAAACTTGGCTCTGCAAACCAGGTTAGGTAAGGCTGGCTGATGCTCGCACGACAAGAGATGCACCATTACCCTTTCTGTCCTATCAGCGCAGAATAACCGAGTGTGATGTCTCTTCTGAACCACGATGTAGGTTATTCCAGGTTGATAGTCTTTTTCCAAACTGATGCAGGCTTCTCGAATTGCTAGTAGTTCATAATATAATACCTAGAGTAGATGAAATGGAAAGATTTGATCTAGTCAACCATTCTCTTACACATACTTCAAAGTAAGACAATTATTTAGTTTCAGTACTACTTTCTTTTTTTAAAAAATATTTTATTTACTTATTTTTTAGAGAGGGGGAGGGAGAGAGAAAGACAGGGAGAGAAACCTCATAGTGTGGTTGCCTCTCGAGCATCCCACACCAGGGACCTGGCCCACACCCCAGGCGTGTGCCCTGACTGGAAATCGAACCAGCGACCCTTTGGTTAACAGTCTGGCACTTAATCCACTGAGTGACACCAGCCAGAGCTCAGTGTTTCTTTTTAAAAAATTATTTATTTTTAGAGAGAGGGGAAGGGATGAAGAAAGGGAGAGAAACATCGATGTATGAGAGAAAAATCTAACAGCTGCTTCTCATAACCCCAACAGGGGATCAGGCCTGCAACCCAGGGATGTGCCCTGACTGGGAGGTGAACCGATGACCTTTCAGTTTGTGGTATGACACCCAACCCACTGAGACACACCAATCAGAGTAGTCTCAGTATTTCTTAATCTCATCTGTTTCATCTTAACTATGGTCAGAGAACAGTCTTAGTAATCAAGGATGGTCTCTGCAATCTAGGCTTACAAAGCCATAGTAAACATCTTAGAAGAGAAATCTCTAAGGAAGCAACAATAGTGACTTTAGGAACTCTCAACTTAATTAAGGCTTCTAACTTCAGAACTAAACACCACATTATAAACACAGTATCTGATTTAACCATAGTATGATGAGATCCCAGGAAACCAACCTGCCTAAACTGTCCCTCTGAAACACCGTCCCGATAGAAGATGATGCGAGTGGGTTTGAACCGAGTTGACTTATAAAATTGAATGAGCAGTTCTCGGACCATGGAGGCCAAGTCCTGGATGACCTCCTGGCGGGGCCTCTGAACTCTGACTGTGGCACAGTACCTGCTTGGGTGGGCATCCATACTGCCTACCACCTAAGTTGGAAAAGTAGAGAAAAAGAAAAATGAAGATTATCAAAACTACATAGATATGCACTTACTGCAATAAACAAAACTGAAATAAAGTACATGGATTTCATTTAGATTTATATTTTATTTTAACCTCACAATTTGCCACTGTTCATTTGGGGAGTAATAAAAAATAGATCATTCCCACTGAAAAACAAAATAAAAGGCCCAGTACAGGATCAAAAATTATTTTCCTGTAAGAAGGCTGCACTTCCCATTTAACAATTAATTCTAATTTTTGGATGTTGCTAGTAGACCTAATGATTAGCAAGGGTGGAAAAGAGACAAAAGATGTACATAAAGACAGTAAGATAAAGGAGATAAGCAAAAGAGAGGACCCATTCAAACCCTTGATTTCTCTTTATATCTTTTACATTTCAGGAAACCACACCATCAGAAGTCACACTGAAGACGCTGGCATCACCTTGGAAATGCTGTTTCACAAATTTCAGAAGGATTTTACCTCTCACTGCGATGTCCTAGACCAGAAGGCTGGAATCCCTAGTCAAGTTTTACTGTGATGTACTTGTTCTTAGGGAAGCTAACTTCCTGTTAGGTATATCTTCCTCATTTGAAACCAAAGCATGAAAAATTCTTACATTTTTTCTTTTGTCTTAGAGTAGCTAATAATCAAGTTTTTAGAAAAATGAGCCAGAACTTGCCTACTTATTTATGTACATGAGGCTGTATTTGCTTTTTCATGTTACACACACACACACACACACACACACACACACACACACACATACGTATATGTGTATATGTGTTATATATAGAGAGAACTGTATGGTATCTTGCTACTAAATATATATGTATATACGAATATATATAAAAATTTAAATAACTGCATGGTATCTCACTACTAAAAAATTCTATACCCCTTCTGATGGCACAAAAAGCCTCACAAAAGCATACTGGCCTCACAGGCTGCTATACTACAGTTTAATTCCTTGCATTTTTCAACATTCTCCAAATGCGCTAGATTTTGGCAATCTGAATTTGAATTTCCATTGCAATCATGGTAATATGTATTATACTATGTGGTATTTATTACTTATATTTGTTTCTCACATTACTCTATAAGTTCTTGGGAAAAGAAGCCATATAGCAAAAAGAATTAGTTAATAAAATCTATTTCCAAGATCTCTAATAATCATAAAAGTGCGTATCTGGTAAAAAGAGGTTTAGTAGAAAAAGACAATGACTACTCAGAAGTCTAAAAGAATTCCAATATGCTTAAACTTTCTCTGAAAAAGGTCTCAAAATAGTGAATCCAAAGTAAGTCTTTTGAATTTCTTTTTTAAATCATTTTATCTTTTATAAGCACATTTTTATGAATATCAAATGGCTCACTACTATCTATCTCTAGGACTCTTGAAATTAAACAATCCATGCATAAATATAAGAATATGAAGCAACATAATTTATTAATAGATAAAAATCAATTTTCTTCACTAATGAAAATAGCTTTGGAATAATATGTAAAAATTTTAGTGTTAATATCATTTTCAAAGATAAGTAAGGTTTATCAGATTGTTAGAACTTAAAGTTTATGTAAAAATTATTATTATATGCCCTGGCTGGTGTAGCTCAGTGGATTGAGTGCCGGCCTGCGAACCAGAGGGATTGTGGTTCGAGTCCCAGTCAGGGCACATGCCTGGGTTGCAGGCCAGTTCCCAGCAAGGGACACATGAGAGGCAACCAACCATACACTGACATTCTCTCCCTCTCCCCTTCCCCTCTAAAGATAAATAAATAAAATCTTTTAAAAATTATTATTATAATGGATAATGAAAAAATACAAAAATCTTACTGCTTAATTTATAAAATTTACTAAGTATTCCTAAAACATGTTTACATCTGAAAACACTGGCAGTTGTTAAAATGAAGCAATTTTCAAGTTGGGTAAAATATTATCTGGCTTTCTGTGGTTTATACGACATACACTTAAAAGAACTGACACAGAATGGTTACAGGCAAAGCTACAATAGAGAGATGTTACAAGTAGGAGTGGCAGTATTAAAGAATTCAAGTGCAAAGTATTAAAATGAACAAAGGTGGAAGATATTTTATATTGAAAAATTTTAATCTACCAATGTTAAATATAATGCATCTTTCTGTATTGAAGACACCACTGAAATCCATGAACAATCTTTTTGAATTACAAAAAAGTAACTGAATCCATAAAATCATGGAAGAGTCTTATAGACAAAGCAGGAAACAGAAGACCTGAGCAATGTAGTTAATAAACTTGATTTAATAGCTATATATGGAACCTGTAGCTCCAAACCAGAGCAGAATCATTTTCAAAAACCTAAAGAACTTACGAAAGTTGACTCTCTTATACATATAAAAGTTGGTTTCAAAGAAGCTATCATTAAAGATCTAACTTTAGGTGAGATAAATCTGCCTGATGGTAACTCACAGCAGCAATGGAAGGCTTCTTCCCATCACCAGCAGGTGGATGAGTGACATCTGCTCCCAGAAATATCACTGGTTGCTGGAACACAGAAGGTCTTAAACACATTTTAAGAAAGAGTTAGTCAACCCCTTGTTTCATGCCCATCCAGCTGGTTCACCCAGTGTAACATAACTGCAAGCTGCCGGCCCAGCGCACAGGAGGCTCTGCACAGACGGCTTTCACGGGCCTGGAATACTGGCAGCATGACCCCCTGAATCCTTGCGCTCCCAGTCAGCGAAGTAAAAGCTGCCACCGCGGGTCTACCCAGGGTCTTACTCAGAGCAGTTTTCTGCCTGAAGTCTGGGTGGCGCTGGTTGCAAAGGGCAACTGCTGCCAGTGTCCCCGTAACAGGCATAACATGCTAAACTTCTTCACATTAATCCACCAATTTGTATTAATCTTTCTTTAATCTACTTACGTTTTAGTTTATGTAATCTCTTTAGGAGAAAAAGAATCATTAAACTATACACTGAAAGGGATTACTGCTCCCCATTCTATGGCCCAAAGTATAAATTTGAGTAACATATAATTACCACCCTAAAGTAGTTCATTTCATTTCTGAAACTATATCTTTTTTAAAAAAGATTTTATTTATTCATCTTTAGAGGGGAAGAGAAGGGGAGAAATATCAATGTATGGTTGCCTCTCGTGCGTCCCATGCTGGGAACTGGCCTGCAACCCAGGCAGGTGCCCTGACTGGAAATCGAACTGAGATCCTTTGGTTCGCAGGCCTGTAACTATATCTTTTAAGATTCAGATGATTATTTCTTAGTTCTTGGGATTGTTGATAATATTCTATACTCATTCCATTTATGAATCTCCTCTCATATTTAATAAGGACACAAAGTAGAGGCTGATGGAAAAGGGGGGAAAAGAGCTTTTATGTTAAACATATATCCTTACTGTAATACTTGTTTGTGTGCATAATGGTTAATATATTTAACTCTTTAAAGCCCTAGTTGCTTTAGCTATTAAAAGGAAACCTGCTGTTCAATTCTCCAAGTTAACAGCTTCTTCCCCAGCTCCTGTTCTAGCTTGTCATGTCTCGTACTTCCGAGCAGCTCCTAGACATGCTGGTGACCCGACAGTACTACCTGCCGTCCCACTGACTGCAGCAAGGGCTGATATGGTTCACTTAACTGATCTACTGATTGACATTCCTCCCCATCTCCAGACCTTCCACTCTTCCCTCACTTTCTAAGTAAACAGCCACATGACATCAGGTTGAAGATGACAATGAAATAACAAAACAATTCTTCAAGCTGGGCTCTCCAGTAAGAAATAAATAAAGCTCTCAGTGCTTTCTAGCTAGGCAAGAGGTATTTTGCATACTGAATGAAAATGGAGGTGGGAAGGGATTTGCACAAGAAACCCTCTTAATCTTGCTAATCCAAACTCTTAATTTTTTGCCCAAGTGTCTACTTAGAATCATCAAAGTGGTTTCTTACACAGATGTTAGATATGGCAATATACATAAAACCTGAAATACTAAAATAATATTTCAGTGAATATTCAGTGAAAGGTAAGTGAATAGCTTAACTTACCTTTGATGAGGTACAAGAATATTATTGATCCCTCCGAGTTTAACATTTATCTTTAGGCACAGATTTGACAGAGTTTGAGGGGATGTTTTTATCACGTTCTTTACTTGAACACACTGTGTAGCCATACCCAAAAGTGTATCTCCCACACGTTTCACCTCCGCTGTGGAACAAATACAGATATCTGTCGTTAGAAAAAAGGTTGAACTTTACTGAAAATTAAGCTACTGTGTTCCTCCCCTGGAAACACATTACTGTCTTACAGGGCGGCAAAAATGACACCAATACTAAAACAATGCTGCTATAACTTAATGTATGCTGCTCTGAAGACCAGCTTAAGTATTTACTGGTAAGTTTTCCAATTGTTTTCTTCTTTTATAAGAAAGTTTATTTTTACTGGCATAAAAGAACTATAGCCCTGACAGGTATGGCTCAGCAGACTGAGTGCCAGCCTATAAACCAAAAGGTCGCTTGTTTGATGCCCAGTCGGAACACTTGTCTGGGTTATGGGCCAGGTTCCCAGTAGGGGGAATGAGAGAGGTGACCAATCGATGTTTCTCTCACATATTGATATTTCTCTTCCTTTATTTCTCCCTCTCTTACCCTCTCTCTAAAAAATAAAATCTTATAAAGCTATAGCCACAACTGAAAAAGCATAAAGAAAAAATATACATAAATCCCTTATTAGTATTTTACTGTACTCTCTTCCAGTAATTTTCTCATTTATAGGATTTTAATGCAGTTATAATCCTATTCTCCAACCTTTAATTTAAAAATACAGAGGTATTACAGTGGAAAAAATAAAAGGCTCCTATTTATTTCCCCTTCTCTGCCATTATAACTACCATAAAGAATTCAGTGTATATAACTTCTTATATATAAAACACATAGAAAGAATTTTAAAATAAAAATCGAGAACATACTATACATTCTATTTTGCAACTGGTCATTTTCACTTAATAATACAGTATGTTCTTATAGTTATCCTGTTTTTAAATGCTGCAAGGTATCTAACCAGTCATAACACTGATATCTTTTTCCCTTGTTCTAGTTCTCATTATTTCAAATGATGCTATGAATAATATCCTTGTATATTTATTTTTGTTTGGTTGTGAAACTACAGCTTCAGAATAAATTTTTACAAGTAGAATGAGGGGGTCAAAGGCATATATATATACTTAACATTTTTATAAAAACATTTTATTTATTCATCTTTAGAGGGGAGGGGAAGGAGAGAGGGAGAGAAATATCAATGTATGGTTGCCTCTCATGCGTCCCCTTCTGGGAACTGGCCTGCAACCCAGGCATGTGCCCTGACTGGGAACTGAACCACGATCCCTCTGGTTCGCAGGCCCGCGCTCAATCCACTGAGCTACACCAGCCAGGGCTATTTAACATTTTCATAGATAATGACAAAAGCCCTTTTTAAAAGATTCATTCATCATTCAACAAATATTAATGTGTACCTAATACATGCCAGTACCATGCAAGGCTCTAGATATACAATAGCGAGTCAAAAGAGACACTGTGGCTATCTTCACAAAGCTAAGTATAGTCAGCAAAATGGGCACTAATTAAACTACAGCTCGAATTTAACATTGCAACTATGAAAGCAACATAAAGGAGCAGAACAAGGTGCTATAAGACAATACTCTTTCACTTGTGTTGTATTTCACAATACAAGTGGAAGAATTAGACCTTGTCAAGGAGGTCAGGCAAAGCTTTTCCCAAGGAAGGGATGCTTGAGCTTAAATTCACAAGAGTGTACATTTGTGCTTAGTGAAGGGTGGAAAGTGGGTTATGAGAAGCAATACAGGTAGAAGGAAGGGGATGAACAAAGAATTTCTCCGGAGGGGGAGCATAAAGTGAGATGAATCCTAAAGAGTTAGAAAGTCATGATCTAAATACACAAATCCTTGGAAGATTCCCTTAAATATTAATTTTATCAATTACATAATGAAAAATTATTAAAGTGAGCATGACAGGAAAGGAGATAAAATCAGATTTATATTTTAAAAAGACCACCCTGGATGCTGGATATGTAAAAACACTTGCAAGTCATCACTCCTGTCCTCACAAGGCAACAGCTACACAAACTGAAAGCCACTGACTTTTCTTAAATCTATCGGAGAACTGAGGTCACAGAACAAACTACCATTCCAAAACAGGGGCATACAGAGAATCACATTCAAGATCAGCTTATTATATGCAGAAGCTGATTAAGCCAATAACTGGTAGGAACAACAAACAGTATCTCCCATAACTCAACAAGAACAAAACAAATAAGCCAATTAAAAAGTAGCCAAAGGACTTGAATAGGCATTTCTCTGAAGATATACAAATGGCCAACAAGCACATGAAAAGATGCTCCACATCACTAATCATTAGGGAAATGAAAACCCAAACCACAACGAGGTACTGCTTCAACACTCAATAAAATGACATAAAAAAAAAGGGGAAATAAGTGTTGGCAAGGATGCGGAGAAATTGGAACCTTTGTGCACTGTTGGCAGGAATGCAAGATGGTGCAGATGCTGTGAAAAACAGTATGGCAATTGCTAAAAACATTAAACAAAGAATTACCATATGATCCAGCAATTTTAATTCTGGGAATACACCCAAAAGAAGTAAAAGGATAGGAACAAACAACTGCATACCCATGTTCAAAGCAGTATTATTCACAATAGCCCAAAGATGAAAGTAATCCAAGTGTTCATTGATGGATGAATAGATAAACAAAATGCGATATACACGTGCAGTGTGATATTATTCAGCTTTAAAAAGAGAAAAAAATTCTGACCAGCCTACAATGTGGATAAACCTCGATGGTATTATGCTAAATAAAATAAACCAGTCACAAATACTGTATGATTCATTTAGATGAGGAAACCAAAACAGTCAAATTCAGAGAGATGGGAAGAACGGTAGTTGTCTAAGATGAGGGACGAACGGGAAGTCATTGTTTAACAGGTACAGAGTTTCAGTTAGGGATGATGAGAAAGTTCTGGAGGTGGATGCTGGTGATGATAGTGCAAGAATGAGAATATACTTAATGCCACTAAACTGTATACTTGTCAAAATGGTAAATTTTATGTTATATATATTATCCCACACAGAGTATAAAATTCTGAAACATGTTACAACATGGATAACCTTGATGACATTATGCTAAGTGAAAAAAGCGAGAAACAAATGGACAAATATTGTAGGATTATATTATACGAATCACCTGGAATAGGTAATTCATAGCGACAGAAAGCGTAACTTAGGCTACCAGGGGTTGATGGGAGGGGGGATGGGAAGGTACTGTTTAATGGGTAGGGAGTTTTTGTTTGGGATTATAAAAACGTTCTGGAAATGAGTAGTGGTGATAGAAATGGATAATGGGCAACACAACAATGTAAACACACTTAAAGCCACTGAATTGTGTAGTTGTAAACGGTTAAAGTGGTAGGTTTTATGTTATGTATATTTTACCACACACATGCGCACAAAAGCTTGTTTAAAAGGCAGTTAACCCAGGAATGCTCCCTCGAAAGCAGCTCATCAGAAGGAATGAAAACCGTGAGCAAAGCCGGGCACCCAACGACTGACTTAAGGAAGCCACCACCTCTACTAACCTGAGACAAATGCAGAGATCCTAGGGCTCAGGCAAAAGAGGGCAAGACTACATACAGAAGCAGCTGAAATACAGGTGGCTGCACTCAGGAAACAAAAAAATTAAATAAAAAGAAGTGACAAACGAGTTTTTCTATGAGAAAAACAATTGGGATAAAAGGTTTAAAAGGGCTGTTCTTTTTTTAAAAAAATGTATTTACTTATTTTTAGAGCAGGGAATAGAGGAAGAAAAAGAGGGAAAGAAGGAGGGAAACATCAATGCGTGGTTGCCCCCACACACCTGCTACTGGGGACCTGGCCCGCGACCCAGGCATGTGACCTGACCGGGAATGGAACCAGCGACTCTGGTTAACAGGACTCAGCACTCAATCCACTGAACACACCAGCCAGGGCATAAAAGGGCTGTTTTTTAAAATAAGAATTCCAGAAAGCTTTAACATTTGAAACTATGTGAGTGGCAATTTGATTTACAAGCACACACTAAACAATTAAATGACTTTTTAAAAAATGAAGGAGAAATACTTTCTCAGACAGATAAAAGTGAATGGAATTTGTTGACAGTAGATTTGCCTTACAAGAAATGATAGTTTTTCAGAGAGAAGGAAAATTATATAGGTCAGAGAAGAATAAATAAAATTTAAATAAACTCTTTTACTTTCATTTTTATTTTATTTATCTTTAGAAGGGGAGGGAAGAAGAGAGGGAGAGAAATATCAATGTATGGTTGCTTCTCGTGTGTCCCCTGCTGGGAACTGGCCTGCAACCCAGGCATGTGCCGACTGGGAATCGAACCACAATCCTCTGGTTCGCAGGCCCGCGCTCAACACACTGAGCTACACCAGCCAGGGCTACTTTCTTATTCTTAAGTGAATAGGTAGCTATTTGAAATAATAACAATGTTTTGTGTGATTATAGCATATGAATAGGTGAAATGAATAACAGCAATATTTTAAGGGACAGGAGTGAAGAACTGGAAATATTTTGTTATAAGGTTCTTACACTATCTGTGAAGCAGTACAGAGTTATTTGAAGAGGACTTAAATCAGTCGTAAGTGTATATTGCAAACTCCAGGACAACCACCAAAAAAAATTTTTTAAACAACTAAAATTGGTCCTGGCCAGGCAGCTCAGCTGGTTGGAATGTTGTCCTGATATACCAAGGTTGCAAGTTCAATCCCTGGTCATGGCACATACAATAATCAACCAGTGAATGCATAAATGGGTGGAGCAGTGAACTGATCTCTCTCTCAAATCAATAAAAAATAAAATAAAACCAGTATAATTGATATGCTGAGAGAGAAAATGAAATAATTAAAGATGCTAAAGTAAAACCAGAAAAGGCAGTAAAAGGGGAAGATAAAATTAAGAACTAACTGCATATTACCTTCAAAAAACCAACTTTAAATATAAGAATTCATTAAGTCCTGGCTGGGTGGCTCAGTTCACTGGAGCATCACCCTGTACACCAAAAGGCTGAGGGTTCGATCTCAGGTTAGGGCACATACCTGCGTTTCAGGTTCAGTGCCCAGCTGGGGTATGTATGGG